ATATATTATTATTATTATTATTATTATTATTATTATTATTATTATTATTATTATTATTATTATACGAAAACTAATATAAAGAAAATATTAAAAACTGTTGAGAGAATAAATCTTCCGTAAACCAAACCCTTAAATTTCTGTACTGTGAAAGTTATTCTGTTATACCATGAGAATATGAATCTTCAATTTATAGATTTCCAGACTTTTACTCTAAGAAAAGAATAAACTAATATGAAAGAAAAGTATATTTTTTCCTTCAAAAAAAATTCAAGCATTAATAATAATTCTAATAATTTTTTTTAAAAGAAAAAAATAAACTTCAAATAAGAAAAAAAAATCAGGGCAAAATCCTAACAACAATACCTATTGCTTCACAGTGATCCACGTCATATTGTAGCATTTAGGGTCAGTCAACAAGAATTAAGTGATTATTTAAGTTATTTGTGTGTCGATACATGAAGTTTTAGTGATATGAATTTCAAACACTTTTTTACAAAAATTTTACAAGACCCTCCATAATGAATTTGGAGGAACAATGCCTATAGGATAACTTTGATTCATACCACTTTTTAGCATTATAAGGTCACTCAATAGTAGTTAAATGATTTTCTCAATTTTTTCGTGTTTTATAACATGAATTTTTTAGTGATGGATTTTGAGGAAAAGAATTGCAAAAACTTTATAGGACCCTCTGTAATGATCTGGGAAAAAAATACACAGTGTCACTATGATCTCGCCACTTTTTCGGCATTTAGGGACCACTCAACAGGAATTAGATGATTTTCTCAATTTTTCATGTGCGTTAGTACACGACATTTTTGGTGATATAATTTTCAAACACTTCTTTAGCAATTGGAGAACAATATCTCACTTTGATTTACGCCACTTTATTAGCATTTAGGGGTCACTCAATAAGAATTAGACGATTTTCTTAATTTTTCGTGTGTATTAGTGCATGAATTTTTCAATGATATTATTTTTTTAAATGACATGGGGGAACAATGCATACAACGATTCACGCCATTGTTTTTAGCATTTAAAACCACTCAACAATAATTAGGCGATCTTTTCATGGATATGATTTTGCAGTCAAGTACATGAAGTTTTTGGGGATATGAATTTCGGACACTTTTTGGCAAAAACTTTACTTGACTTGGGAGAACACTATCTATAGTCTAACCATGATTCATGTACTTTGAAAGTACTTAGGCTCAATAAGTATTAGATAATTTTCTCAATTTTTCATGTGTATTAATATATGAATCTGTTGGTGACATGAATTTCAAGAAGTTACTTTGCAAAAACTTTACAGGGCGTCCTACCTAAGTAAACAATACATATTATTTCACCATGATTCATGTCGGCTTTTTAGCAATTAGGATCACTCAACAAGAATTAGGCGATTTTCTCTTCTTTTTTTTCCACGAGAGTTATTACCTAAAGCTCTTGATTATATGAATTCTAGGCACTTCCTTTCGCAAAACTTTATAGGACCCTCGTCCTTCTTGGAAGAACAATACTTATAATCTCACCATAGTTGATGCCACTCTTTTAGAGTTTAGTAACCACACAATAGAAATTAGGTAATTTTCTCAATTTTTTATGAACAAAGCACATGAATTTTCTGGTGATAAACTTTTTTGCAAAAACTTGACAAATACAGAACCCTCTATAATGACCTACGAAACAAATCAAATAATACATATAATCTCACTATGATACACGAAACTAATTTAGCAGTTAGGGGCTACAAACAGGAATTAGATGATTTTCTCAATTTTTCGTATGTGTTAGTACACGAGTATGTTGGTGATATGAATTTCAATAACTTGTACAAAAATTTTACAAAACCCTCCAAGGGAACAAATATCTATCATCATGATTCACACCATTTTTTTAACATTTAGGGTCATTCAACAGAAGGTACAGGCCAACATTTAGGATATTTCTAGACCACAATAAGCTAGTTAGATGGTTAGGAAAATCCTAGATGCTACAAGAACTGTGCAACAGATCAAGAATAAGATACAACTGATAGGAGATCATCCCAAAACATAGCTGAGGTTTTTATCCCAAAACATTGGTTTAGAAGAAAGTGATTCACAGAAGAAAGATCAGTTAGAATTGCTTCTTCTAAAAGCCTCTCCGAACGAAAGAAACTTAGCAGCACTATGTCAATATTCAACAAGCAAGTACGCAAAAATATGTCAATACTGTAACTGCAAAGTTGCATATTAACAGGCTATCATACTGTATCCATCGCTGTGGCCGTCCAAAAGAAACCAATTTAAGACAAACGATCAGATAAGAGTCATCTATCTGCCTATTGTAGAAAAGTGAATCAAGTCGCCCTCAAACTATGGGAACCAAAACAAATCATTTTTATCGCGGAGGAGAATTTGAATCTCCATCTACTATCTATTGATTGATCATGTTGAACTGCAATCTGGAAAGCTGTTGAGGAATTGTAGATATTACAGGTCCATATCTCTGCGATGAATTAAGAGAGCATCAGTATGCTAAGAAACTATTATAAAGATGGTCGCAGATATGATTACTACTCGCTGATGAAAGATAACACAATCCTGAAAAGGACCCTTTCATCATAGTTCTTACATACAAACTAAATTGAAAGAACAGAATAGGAGGCAACAGAGAAACCATAAATCATTCTATACCTGAACATTGTCATAAAGCTCAAACAATGGCACAGCAAGAAGTTTAAGATTTTTGGGGACAGCAAAGTATTCTCTTTCAGATAAGTGAACAAGGTAGAGCTTCTTACACTCCTGCACCACATTCAAAGAGCCAACTAAATCAGGCAAATATGAAACAAGGGATAGATTAGTGATTCATGAAACAACGGGATAGATCGGTCGATCAGAAAAACTTCATACTACTGTACCTTAGGTTTTGTTATATGTGGAGGACAGTATGGATACATTATGGTTTCAAAGTTAGGCCTCCACCAGGTGGCTATGCACTCACCTATCTGCATTTACAAATGCCACATCATAGGAAGATGTATTTATTTATATTTCAAAAGTGATAGAGAGAGAGGGAGAGAGTTATACCTTATATAAGAACAAATAAAGCGAAGTAATAATTGGGCTGGTTGGCTTTTGACACGCTTTTTATCCCATTTCAGCCCAAGTAACTTTCGGCCATGTTATCTATCGGTATAAGAACAAATAAAGCCAAGTAATAATTGGGCTGGTTGTCTTTTGACACACTTTTTATCCCATTTCAGCCCAAGTAACTTTCGGCCATGTTATTTATCAACTTATAGCCCGTTTGGCTAAACTAAAAAAAGTAGCTTTTTAAAGTTGTTTTTGAAAGTCAGACCTTTAGTAACTTTTAAATTAAAAAAATGAAAAGTAGCGGAGTACCTACTTCTCAACTTTTTATCAAGTCAAACAAAAAACGAGTCTCAAGTGAACAAAGAACTATCAATAAGTTCTACTGATGATGGGATAAACTGAATCGATCAAAAATTATGGTGGATTATGTTTGTGCATACAACGTTACACTTAACACTATGCAAGAAGATGAGGATCTTGAACCTTTGTCTGTCGAAGAATGTCGATGAAGATGTGAAAATGGCATGAGGCAATTCAATCAGAATTGAATTCACTTGCTAAACATGAGGGGTTTGAACCAGTAGTCCAAATTCCTAATGATGCAATAACTTTTCGAAATGTCATCAATTTAGTTGTACATGGAAGTATTGATACTAGTTCAGAAGATACCGAATATTAAATATATCTAGATGATAACATATCCATAACCTATCCTGTGATCTATTTAAGTTAGGTGATCTATCTAAGTGTAAAATACAGTAGTGATTATTTATAGCCAAAAAGTAGTGTACAAACATATTCTAATAGAATTGTATAAACCTATTCATATTCTAACACCCCTCAAGCTAGTGCATACAATTCATGTACCTAACTTGTTACAAATGTAATTAACACGAGGACCGATGAGGAGCTAGGTGAGATATCTACAAGTTGATCACCTCGACTTTAAAAAATTGACAATTGATCTCAATGTGCTTAATCTTCTCATGAAATATTGAATTTGATGCATAATGTCGATAAAACAAAGTGAGATAAAATTACAGTACTGAACTTCTCAAAACAAACTTGCAAAGACTGTTTCAGGCCCTAGAATGACTCACATAATCGACATATGCCGGAGTACTAGATCTGATGCCGGAAAGTGGCCACAATCTAAGAAATAAAATTATAGGGGTAGGGTCAAAATGATGGCAAGACCCAACTAGAAATAGAAATTATATTGGAAAGGTCGAATTGATGGAACAACCCTATTGAAAAAGAAATAATATGGATAGGATCGGAATGATGGCAACATCCTACTGAAAAAGAGAGATTATATGGGTAGGGTCAGAATGAAGGCACAACCCTATGCAAATCGAATTTGAGGAGTCACTGGAAAGACGAATGGAACTATGCAAATCAAATTTGAGGAGTCGCCGAAAAGACACAGTGTTATACAACTCAAATATGAGAAAGTAGTCCGGAAAAATCCACAATACTACGCAAATTAAATATGAAAAGTAGTTTGGAGAGAAGCACGATGCTACGCGAATCACATATGCAAAAAAGGAGTCACTGAAAGGATGGTACGGTGCTACACAAATTAAATATAAAAAGTGATCACCGGAAAGATCACATGGGTACACATATAGGGTATTAAAAAGTAGTCACCAGAATGATGGCACGATGCTACACAAATAAGATATGAGAGTTTTACCGAAATGACGACATGGTGCTACAAAAATTAATTATAAAAAAGTAGTGGCCGGAATGATGGCACGGTGCAACACAAATTAACTATGAAAAAATAATCACCGGAAAGATGACACGACACTATACAAATTAAATATGGAAAAGCATTCATTGGAAAGACGACATGGTGCTACAAGTTTTGTTAACACAATCATTGGCCAGACGAGCGACACATATGGATAATAGTCACCCGCCGACAACGGAAGCTCTTTGATTGTTTACCAAGATTGTAAAGGCTCTAATGCCATATGAAAAATATAGGAAAAGAATATTATTGAATTGTTGTTGAAGAATATTATTGAGTTGTTGTTGTCTACAATATTACGTTGAGAGCCTATTTATAGGAATACTAGAATACAATCCTTTACCAGGACTACTAATTTTATTTCTATTTTGTATTCCTATTCCTATTCTAAAATAGGGTTGTATAAACCTATTCCTATTCTAATAGGATTGTATAAACCTATTCATATTCTAATAGACCCCACATGGCATCCACCTTAGTTTTACAACACTCCCTTGAATGTCTATGTAAAAGAAAAGTTCGAAGGAAAACATATATATAGATAGACATCCATAACATCATTTTAAACTTATTTTAGGTTATCTTTAACTATGACAAATACTCTCAAAAGCTAAAAATGACTTGAAACTATATTTGGCCAACTTTTAAGCAATCCAAACAGGCTCTTAGTCCATTTTAACCATCTCGCCCATTTAACGCCTATATATTCAACCACACGAATTATACTTCAAAATTAACACCTTATACCATAAAAGATGTCCAATCCTTGTTTCTTTTATCACTATTTCCATACAACATAAAGTCTGTTGAATACCTCCAATACCCATATATCTCGTATACAGAAGAAAAAAACAACTATGATTCAATTTGTTTGCCTTTAGTTTAAATTGGCACAGAATTTAAGAAAGTAAAAAGACTTAAACATTGTTGTCTCAAACTAAACATGTGTTAATGTAGCAAAATGTCGTTTAATCTTGTGGTCTTAAACATGCCACGTGTGAATTTGAAATTAAAGAGTTAACAAATTAGGAATGAGACGTTCTTTTTTAAATAGACTAATAAGAAAAGCACAACAAACAAATTAAATCAAAGGGACTACTAAACAGTGTAACAGGCACCTAATTACCTTCCAATTTGGCTGATTGGCAGGAGGATTAGCAGCAAGTTTGCTGGAAAGTTTCCTTTTCAAACCCTCGATTTCTGCAAATAACGGAAGAGAGAAGAAAAACATAAAAACATAGCAAGAAATTCACGACTTAACAGAAAAACAAAGGGAGAGAATATGGTAAGAATTTAATTTAATTCTTAACAATATGATAAGAATCAATGTGTCACAAATAAAGACAAGAACACACCATTTTCTCCTGGCTTTAGGCGTCCACCTGGGAGCTTGCAAAATGTGTTCCCAATTTGCAGAAGAAGAATATGAGGATGGTTATGTTCTTGTACCTGTGAATTTTACACACAATTAGTGATATCTGAATATTTGATAATCAGAGTGTCATCTGATAAAACAAACTTCTCCGATCTGGTTGATTTAGGTGCCAAAATTAGTATTTTCACACATCTTCTATACTGTACCACTTTGCCACATATCTCTACAGAATCTATATGAAATGTGAAGACTGCACAATTTCAAATTTTCAATAGTATGAGCTAGGTTTTTTGAAATTTGGAGGAAAAGAAAGCAGCTGATAAGTCATCTTAAATTCTTAATTTGATGAGCGCGTATATTCATTCTTTTCCCCTCACAAAATCGTAAGACCTGCTAATAGTAGCTCTATGAAGGAAAGAGCATCAATCGCCGACAGTCTCAACAAGGAAAAAACTTTTCAAAAGGTGAGGCACTACCAAGAGAAGAAAAGGCTTGATATAAGGAAAGGTGTACTCAAGCCATCTGTCCTACATACTTCTTATTCAAACCAACTAACACGATTCACCAGTTCTTCCAACTGTACAAAAATACTTAAGAAGTGTGGTAGATAACTATCTAAACATCAAGTATCCTTCAATTCTGAAATAGTTTGGTAACATTACATAAATCCTATGTACCATTCTTCTCTACTACAGAGGTTCTTCAAAACTAAAAATAATTTAAAACTCACATTCATCCCTGCATTGACATGCAAATCTATAACTAGACTAAGAATATCAAAAGATAACACTGAACCAACTGTGAATGTAATTAAAACTTCCTTAATCCCAACTAAAATGAGCTATTTTATAGATCCTTTACTTCCTTTGTGCTTTTAACTTATCCACCTTGATTTCAGGAGATCGTCTGCTATTCACTACCTTAATAATTTCAATCATTATAGTATTGCATCCACAGGCACAGACCCAAAGTCTACTTAGGATATGTTGAAACTATTTCAGGTAATATTCTTTCACTTATCCTCTCTGTGTCACTTGCATCCTCTATTTGACTAAACATTTCTAACCTGGTCCAGTTTTGTATAACCACACATCTTAGAAACAACAATCCCATACCCAGTGTAATCACACAAGTGAGGTCTAGAGAGGGTGGGGTAGAGATGTTTCCCATAAACCCTCGGGTCAAGAAAATCGTTTTTCAGGACAGGTTTGGAAAAAAATGCGCGAGTAAAAAAATATGATGAAAATATTGAAAAACAAAAAGTAATAACAGTAAAAATAATAAAGATAACCAAAGTAAAAAATACAACAATAATAATAATAAAATTGAAGAATAAGCTACTGCTAGCATATTAATGATAACACATTTATCTTATCATCCACATTAATAGAGGCCCAAGCCACCCAACAGTTAATACCACACGCATTGATAGTGCAAGCCCCTTATTATTTTTAATAATCAGACTCCACTTTGTTTTGTCCAATTTTCTGACTCAAGCTCTCATCATAAAGCTGCAAGAAAAATCTTCATGCCAGACTTGTGGCACTGTGAAATTTAGCATAATCAAATATGCTATTATATGCTTTCTCCCGGGCTAATTAACATCAGATGGAGATTCTTCCTCCTTCCTAGAAACTCCAAATAGATCTTCTAAACTAAAAGATAGCATGCATAAATACAGGTCCAATTCAACCATTTTGCAAAATTTGCCTCAGAGAAAGGAAAAACAAGCTAACCCTAATTATGGATGAGCTAACCAACACAATACTAGATGAAATCTCATAGTCTATGCTATTTGCTGATTATATTGTGCTAAATCACATAATTGATGAAACCCGGGAGGTGTCAACCAAAAGCCGCTTGAACTAGGGAGAAATGCTTTAGAGAGTAAACGGATGTCTGATTTGCAGTATAGGATAAAGTAGTTAAGAGTATAGAACTGTACAACATTTGTTCCTCTGTTTGGTTACTACTTTCTTTCTTGGTATAATAATCGTTGTATAACTTATACAGGAGTCATAGTTTTATTATATACCATCTCCTATGTGGGATAAGCATTACATTGATTTGTTACACATGAATAATAATCGAATTGACAAAATTTCCTTCTCTCCAGAGATTTTTAATACCTTGATCATTTCTCTTTCTTCAAGGACCAAGAGTAAAATTGGAAACAAAAATTTATCCAACTTAAAACCAAACACATGATTTAAATTGTACACTACATATCTCATTTTTTATGCAATGAACCAAACACCTGATAAAAAGTAATCTTTGCATCACAATCCCTATATTTTATTTTTTTTGAGATTCACAATCCCTGCATTATTAATCCATGCATTACAATCATTGTGCAACTTGTTTTTAAATCACACGACTCCTAAAGACTTTAGGGTAAATGGAAGTAGAAAGGTATACATGCACACCAAGGTTAGTCATTAGTCAACATTGAGAAGAGCAGAGAAAAGGTCAAGACTAGCCGAGATTGAGGTATCAAAATGCAAATAATTAATATATACGCTTGCCATTTCAAGAGAATTTTAGGATAGATGAAGAAATGAGCATGCCAATGAACCTTTTGGAAATCAAATGGCTATTAGACATGAAAGGGAAGCCACAAAGTTATATCTGTCTGTTCCTTTTTCTTTTCACCTCGTGACATTTTTTCCTTCTGTCTAACAGCCAAAGAAATCTCTACGAATCAACATATACTTGTGTATACTAATAAATGCATCACCCACTATCTTAGATTTTATAATAGGTGGCATTGATCATCAAAATAAGCATGTGATAATTTCTCTGATCTGATTATTCTTTCCAAGATACTTTCTTAACTCTTCCCTAACAGGTTTCGGGCATGTTGTACAACTTCTAACATTACCTCAGTAAAGTATTACAACAACGTACCTGTGATCCCATAAATAAGGTCCGAGGAGGGTGGGGTGCACGCAACCCTTACTCCAACCTTAGGTAAGGTTTAATAAGACCCTCGGCTCGAGAAAAGCATTTTCGAAATAGGTTTGAGAAATACAAAGAGTGAAAAGTTCTCAAAATAAAACAAGAGTGGAAACTTATATAGCAAAACACGGAAGACAAGTAAAGTATTGCCGACAAAAAAATAGTAGAGATAAGCAAAGTAAAAAAAGACCACACACAATAGTAGTGAGACAGATAGGGGAAAGGTAAGCAATAAAAATGTTCTAAACTAGCGCCAAGTTCACCCACAGATAAGAGAGACAATGCTCAACTACCAACCTTCTACCCAAATCCTCGACCTCCCCTTTCTCCTATGTATAGCATGCCCTCGATGTGTCATGTCATGTCTAATCACCTTTCCCCGATTCTTCTTCTAGCGCTCCTCAAGCCTTTCACTGCCACTCTCACACCTCCTCAGTGAGGCATTTATGTTCTCACTCTTACATGCCCTAACCATCTCAATCTTAGATGCCCTAACCATCTCAATCTCGCTCCCGACATCTTTTCCACCATGGAGGTCCACGGTGGTCACTCCCACCTTGTCCCGAATATAATCCTTCCTAATGTTATCCCTCTTAGTAATGTTTGTAACAATCAATAGCCAAAACTTGAAAATGCGGCAGATTAGTTGAAAAACAGCCACTTGAGCTCAGGGTATTCAGTTCAAACTTCAGGAAATTTTCCTAAAATTATTCTCTCATGTTGCCTGTTGAGATTCGCATCTAGGTGTATTGTAAACAAAACTTGTCTGCTTTATAAGTGATAGTAAACTAGCAACAAGATGCAATACACAGAACATAAGTCAGCATCTAGGACAAAACCAGACATATACATATACATCCACCCCAGAGGTTGAGGCTTCGGAAAAAGTGACAGTAATATCAAAATGGGGTGACATTAAAGCTAATGCAAATAGAAGCCTTAAAAATTGAAATGAAGAATGGAGAACCATACCAATAGAATTCCTTCAACACTTGTCCTTACACCCTCCTTCATGTAGCTGCAAACAATACCTTATCTTAGATGTTTGTTAACAAAAAAAGGTAGAACACGTTTAGGCGTGAATTCTATACTTAGGTATTTTTGCAAATGCTCAAGTGTGATACTGAACTTCTCCGAATTTTCAAGTGCTATACTAAATTATTGAGTCTAAGGTCCATTCACAAATCTACAACTTTCACAAAACCATCATTTCTAAATGAAATTCATGTTCAAAAGCAACTTCAACTCCAACAATCTAAACGCCTATTAATTTGTCAATCCAAATAATCAAGTATTAGATATCTATGCGTCCAAAGAAAACAGAACAGTCTTAAGTCCCCGAAAGGGTTTAAGCTAGGGTTTTATGGAATCACTTAGTCCAAGAACGAAAGTGAGTATGTGTTCACTATAGCCGACGAGAAAATTTTCCAGAACGAAAGGAAAAGCTACGTACTTGACTTTCATACGAGCAAGGCGATCGGCAACGGATGTATCCTTCTCCATTTTATGCTCTTTTGTACCAAATGTATAGCTAGAGAGTGGGTATGTATTCACTATAGCGGACGAGGCCATTTTGATCAGTTCAATCGCTTCTTTTGGGCAAGAACGGCGAGAATGATTTTCCGGCGACAGTTCGCCGGTGATATGGTTTCTTCTTTCTTGGTTTTAGATGCTTCTGGACTTGAGAAAAAGATTTTGAAATTATATTAGGATTTCATTAAATACATATTCGCCATGGTATCTTCATCTTGATTTTTGAGATAATTATGAAATATATAATCGATTAGGTATTCGTTAATTTGGTGAATCGTTACTTTATTTTGAAGTGTTTTAAATATAATTATTAAGAGTTTTAACATAAATATATTTTAATTTTTTTAGATAATTTTTTCCTGATATAACAATAGAAATCTTTGAATGAATTTGAAATGTTTTATGTTCGTCTTTTTAATAGAAAATAAGTATGATTTTGTTTGTATAAAAAATAAGTTTGTGATTTTAGTGTATGCAACATTTAGAGATTCAATGAAGAAAATTGCTAAATAAATTGGTGTTGACTTGAGATACAAATGTATGAAGCTTAAGTATAAGATAAAAGTCAGTAATGTCCCTTTGAAAATAAACAATGAGATTTGTGTAAGAGTGTATATGTCGTTGAAGAAAGATAATAGGGATTTAAAGAAGCATGCCCTTTGTATGTCTGTATTTATGAAGGATATCACAGTTGATACACAATTATGAGTGCTTAGTGTATCATTCGTGAGTGAACAAATTCTGATATTATTTCAAACATCAATAAAAAAAATAATGACAGATGAAGTTTACAAGGACAAGGAAACTTTAAAATTTGTGATAACGTAGTGTGTCATTGATCATATGCTCCAGTAAAAAACAAACAAATAAAGTAAAACCATGTATGTATATTTGTATACTTAATTAAATTGTTCTACTAACAATCTTCATGTATGTATTATGTGTATTTGTATTTTTAATCGTTTCAAAAGTTATACTCTTTTTTGTGTGTCTGAGAATTGTGGATGAATAATGAAGTCATCTAATATCAATTCATTGAGAATGTTTATAATAAGAAATTCATAAATGAGCATACATGTCCCTTGAAAGGCTAGGTGTATTGTTAATGACACGCAACAAGCAATTTTGTTGGAAGGATAATCAAGTCCAAACTAGTAAATCATAAAAGAAAGTTAACACCAGAGGATATACAAGATAATGTTAGACTAGACTTAGAGTAGATGTATCCTACACAGTAGCATGAACGACTAAGGAAAGTCTATAAATTCATTAGAAGGGACACCATCTAATTCTTATAGTAAATTGTTGAGTTACTTATACATATTGAATACTATCTATCCTGGATCACATATAAGAATGAAGAAATCGATGAAAATCAATTTTTATATCTTTTCATTTCTCTCTTTCCGTTCATAAAAGAGTTTTGAAAGTTGTAGCGTGATTATTGTAGTGAATGGCAGCCACATCATGAGACTTATAATGATATGGAGCAGATAATTCATTTATTATGGATAATATTTTATGTAGTTTTTATAATTGTATTTTTTAATGAAATATTAAATTTCTATTGTTTGTTCAGGAAATAAATTGCCACTAGCGTATGATATTATATTGTTGATTTAGAGAATGATGCATCCTGAACTTGATTCTTTGAATAATTTAGAGAAGTTCCTGATTTAAAAGAAAATATGTATATTGTATTCGATGAGAACGAGAGTTTTGTAAGACAATTTTGAGAGGATACAATGGAGTCTCACATTATGCTTATACATAACATATGTGGAAAAATGTGAAGGGATCATACAATAGGCTTCCGAAAGCGTTTTATGCCATGACAATAGCACACAACAATTTGATTTTGATGTACGGGTGAAAAAGCTTGATTAAGTGATATGAATTTATGTAAAAAAAAGTTGCAAAAATCTTTATAAGACCCTGCTTAATAACTTGCAGGAATTATATATGTAGCGTTACCATGATTCACGTCATTCTTTTTAGCATTTAAGACTACTCAACAAAAATTAGATGATTTTTTTAAATTTTTGTCTGTAAAATACATGAAATTTTTTGGTGATATGAATTATACTTTACAAGACCATCTGTAATAACTTGGGAAAATACTATCTATAGTCTAACCATGATTGACGGCACTTTGTAAGCATTTAGGAGCCACTTAACAAGGATTAGATAATTTTCTCAATTTTTCATGTGCATTAGTATATGAACTTTTTGGTGATATGAATTTAAGAAATTATTTTGCAAAAACTTTATAGAATCTCCTTAATGACCTAAGGGAACAATTCACCATGATTCATGTCTTTTTATAGCTGTTAGGGTCACTCAACAAGAATTAGGTGAATTTCTCTTCTTCTTTTTTTATGTGAGTTATTATCTGAAGCTCTTGAATATACGAATTTTGAGCACTTTTTTTTCCAGAATTTTATAAGACTTCGGAGAAAAATACTTATAACCTCACAATTGTTGATGGCATTCTTTTAGAGTTTAAGAACCACTCAATAGAAATAAGATAACATACATGAATTTTTTGATGATATAAATTCCTAAAAAAAAACCTCTGTAATGACCAAGGATAACAATACATATAACCTCACTAGATTCATGACACCTTTTTAACAGTTAGAGGCTACTAACATAAATTAGACGATTTTCTCAATTTTCCAATCTTCCAAATGTGTTAGTAGATGATTTGTTTTTTCGAAAACTTATTTTTGCAAAAACTTTACAAGACCCTCCGAAAGAATTAGGGGGGACAATATTTAGGTTGGCAAAAACAAGTCAATATTGTAACTGCGAAGTCGCATATTGTACCCATCGTTGTGGCCGTCCAAAAGAAGCCAATTTAACACAAACAATCAGATGAGAGTCATCTATCTGCCTATTGTAAAAAAGTGAATCAAGTCGCCCTCAAACTATGGGAACCAAACCAAATCATTTTTATCGCGGAGGAGAACTTGAATCTCCATCTACTATCTATTGATTGATCATGTTGAACTGTAATCTGGAAAGTTGTTGAGGAATTGTAGATATTACAGGTCCATATCTCTGCCATGATTAGAAGAGCGTCAGTATGCTAAGAAAATATTATAAAGATGGTCACATATATAATTACTACTCATTGTTGAATGATAACACAATTCTGAAAAGGACCCTTTGATCACAGATCTTATATGCAAACTAACTTGAAAGAACAGAATAGGAGGCAACAGAGAAACCATGAATCATTCTATACCTGAACATTGTCATAAAGCTCAAACAATGGCACAGCCAGAAGTTTTAGATTTTTGGGGACAGCAAAGAACTCTCTTTCAGATAAGTGAACAAGGTAGAGCTTCTTACACTCCTGCACCACATTCAAAGAGCCAACTAAATCAGGCAAAATATGAAACAAGGGATACATCAGTGATTCATGAAACAAAGGGATAGATCAGTCAATCAGAAAAACTTTATACTACTGTACCTTAGGTTTTGTTATATGTGGAGGACAGTATGGATACATTATGGTTTCAAAGTTCGGCCTCCACCAGGTCGCCACGCACTCGCCTATCTGCATTTCAAAATGCCACATCATAGGAAGATGTAATTATTTAGATTTCAAAAGAGAGATACACACACACACAGAGAGAGAGAGAGAGAGAGTTCTGCCTTATATAAGAACAAATAAAGCCAAGTAATAATTGGGCTGGTTGGCTTTTGACACGCAATTTATCCCATTTCACCCAGTAACTTTCGGCCAGGTTATTTATCAACTTATAGCCCGTTTGGCTTAACTTCAGAAACTTTTAAGTTAAAAAATGAGAAGTAGTGGAATACCTACTTTTAACTTTTTAAAGTCAAAAACAAAAAACGAGTCTCAAGTGAACGAAGAACTATCAGTAAGTCCTACTGGTAACGGGATAAAACTGAATCAAACAAAAATTATGGTGGATAATGTTTTTGCATATAATGTTGCACTTAACATTATACGACGGTGACGATCTTGAATCTTTGTTTGTCAAAGAATGTCGACGAAGATGTGACTGGCCAAAATGGCAAGAGACAATTCAATTCACTTGCTAAACGGGAGGGTTTTGAACTGGTAGTCCAAACGCCTAATGATGCAATAACTTTTCGAAATGCCATCGATTTAGCTGTACATGGATGACTTGAAATACATTCGATGGATGTGGTTACGGCTTATTTTTACGGTTCACTTGATAATGAAATTTATTTACAAGACTAGGAATACATATTGATAGTAGTTCATACAAACAACAAATATTAATTTTTTAGTCTGCATATACTAAAAAAAATTTCAAATGATTTTTACATGGACAAAGTACATAGATTAAGTACTCCAATGATTTTTTGATCACTTGAAATGAGTAAAGATCCATTCCGATCTCAAGAAGAGAATGATGAACCTCTTGGTCTTGGAAGTACCATATCTTAGTGCAATTGGTGCACTTAGGTATCTTGCTAATGCTACGAGATCTGACATAGCTTTTTTTATTAATTTGTTAGCAAGCTATAGTTCTTCCTTTACACGAAGTCATTGGAACGAAGTTAAACATATATTGCGATATCTAAACGGGACCAATGATATGGGTCTGTTTTATAATAACAAAGATAGTGCCGATCTTATTGGTCATGCAGATGCGGTTATTTATCTAACCTACATAAAGCTCGATCTCCAACAAGCTATTTGTTCACATACAACAATTTCATGGCAATCTACGAAGCAGTCCATTGTCACTACTTTTAATCATGTTGAGATAATAATTTTTCATGAAGCAAGTAGAGAATACATATGATTGAGATCAGTGATACATTTCATCAAAGAAAAATATGTTTATGAGTGTGATGTCAAGGTACCCAGAGTCCTCTTGACAATGTTGCATGCATAGCTCAATTATGAGGCTTCATAAAAGAGATAGAACGCAACATATTTCACCAAATTATTCTTCATGCATGATCTTCAAAAGAACGGTGATATTGATGTACAACAAATTCATTCAAGTGATAATCTAATAGATTTATTTCACCAAATCTTTACCCACCTCAACTCTTGAAAAGATGGTACACAAAATTGAAATGCAAAAACTTAACCGTATGAATTATGGTCTTTATCAAGGGGAGTTAATACGCGTTGCACTTTTTTTCCTTTGGCTAGGATTTATCCTATTAGGCTCTAAAAATTTTTTAATGAGGCAGCAAGTATATTTTTTCCTTCAACTTTACTTTTACATGGACATCTAAGGAAGTGTTGTAAAACTAAAGTGGATGCCATGTGGGGCCACCCATTTGAGGAGTATCATCACTTGTAATGTCGTAAAACAAAGGTGAATGTCATATGGGCCCACCCACTTGATGACTACCATCACCTGACCAATTGAATGACTTCTTAATGGCCAAGAGAGATGTTTGTACATTACTTTTTGACTATAAATAGCTACTACTTCATTTACGAAGGAATATATAATCAAATACAATACAATATTTTTTCTCTCTTTGCTTGTTTGTACAAAGCCCCAAGCATAGCCAACTGATTTTACAGCATTGGTTGTTAGGCCACTGGTCCAAAACCTCTTTCTCTCTCTTATCACACATTCTCTCGAAACCATTTTTTCCTCTTTTCTCCTCTTCTAAATTCTATCTCTATGAAATTTTTTGAGATCTTCAAATCTAGTTCTCTGGAATCCTGATTTATAGTTAGATTTGATGATTCCTTTCATGTCCAAATCCTAGTTTTTTTTGGATCTTTTTTTAAAAAAATTGTTGGGCTGAAAAATTGAACCCATGGTGGGCTGTGTCTGCTGCTGATGATCTCGGAGCCCCCACCAAAGTCATGGGAGGTGGGTGACTTGGATGCTAGCATAAGACGACTTATACTTTCTTCGTCGAAGAATTCAAAGGACACTGATTATTCATCTTCTTCTATGAAGAATAATCAATATGAACTGCCTGATTCCTCGACTTTGGCTGTGCTGTTTTAGGGAGAGTGTCTGATGTTGTTAACACAGTGGATCAATCTCTCCGTGAGGCTTTACAAAACCCTCGAGAGTATCTTTCCATTTTGAGGATGGAGCAAGATGTTGAAAAGTTCATCAGGGATCCTGGTCGACAAAAAATGGAATTCCAACCGCTGCCTACCTCCTATTTGCGGCTGGCTGCTCACTGCGTGGCACAGCATTATTCACTACAATCAATGGTTTTGTTGGACAATAGTTTACTGGATGGCTCGGGTTCAAAAATATTTTGAGCAGACTTCTGAATGTCGGATGCCTTTGAATCGCTTGGTTGACATTCCGGTGAAATTGCCTCAAGGAGATACTAATGTGTTTTAAGGTTGCAATAAAGTGTTATGAAATAACTAACTTAGCAAACTAAGTAAATTAAGAGGAAGAACAAGCAAAGAGAGAGAATATTGTATTCTCTTGCTTCGTAAATAAAGTAGTGGCTACTTATAGCCAAAAAGTAATGTACAAACATATCACTTGGCCATTAAGACGTCATTCAATTGGCCAGGTGATATAGTCGTCAAAATGGGCGGGCCCCACATGGATCCACCTTTGTTTTACAACATTACAAGTGATAATACTCCTCAAATGGGTGGGTCCCACATGGCATCCACCTTAGTTTTACAACGCTACCCTTGAATGTCCATGTAAAAGAAAAGTTGACAAAAAATATATATAGACATCCATAATATCATTTTTAACTTGTAGGTTATTTTTAACTATGCCAAACACTCTCAAAATCGAAAAATAACTCAAAGTAGATTTGACCAACTTTGAAGCCAATCAAAACAGGCTCTTAGTCCTCCATTAAACCAACCCACCAATTAACACCTATATATTCAACCACACAAATTGTACTTCAAAATTAACATCTTATACCATAAAAGATGTCCAATCCTTGTTTTTTTTATCACTATTTCCATACAACATAAAGTGTGTTGAAACCTCCATACCCCTATATCTCGTCTACAAAGAAAAAAAAAGCTACTATGTTTCAATTTGTTTGTCTTAGTTTGCCAATAATGAAAATTTGACTTGGCAGGGAATTTAAGAAAGTAAAGGAACTTTTAAATGTTGTGGTGTTAAACTAAAGATGTGTATAATGTACCGAAATGTCTTTTACTCTTGTGGCCTTAAAACATGCCACATGGGATGTTGAAATTAAAGAGTTACCAAATTAGGAATGAGAAATCCTTTCTTAAATATAGTAAAAAGGAAAAGTAAAACAACCAAATTAAAACAGAGGGACTACTAAACAGTGTAACAGGCACCAAATTACCTTCCAATTTGGCGGATTGGCAGGAGGATTAGCTGCAAGTTTGCTGGAGAGTTTCCTTTTCAAACCCTCGATTTCTGCAAATAACGAAAGACAGAAGAAGAACATAGAAAATTAGCAAGAAATTCACGACTTAACCTATAAACAAAGGGAGAGAGTATCATAAGAATTTAATTTAATTTGATTTAATTCTTAATAATATGATAAGAATCCATGTGTCACAAATAAAGACAAAAACACACCATTTTCTCCTGGCTTTAGGCGTCCACCAGGGAGCTTGCAAAATGTGTTCCCAATTTGCAAAAGAAGAATATGAGGATGATTATGTTCTTGTACCTGTGAATCTTACACATAATTAGTGATATCTAAATATTTGATAATCAGAGTGTCATCTGATAAACAAACTTCTCCGATCTGATTGATTTATGTGCCAAAATTAGTATTTTCACACATCTTCTATACTGTACCACTTAGCCATGCATCTCTACAGAATCTAGATGAAATGTAAAAACTGCACAATTTCAAATTTTCAACAGTATGAGCTAATTTTTTTTAAATTTGGAGGAAAAGAAAGCAGCTGATAAGTCATCTTAAATTCTTAATTTGATGAGCGTGTATATTCATTCTTTTCCCATCACAAAATACTGAAACCTGCTAATAGTAGCTCTATGAAGGAAAGAGCACCAATCATCGGCAGTCTCAACAAGGAAAAAACAGCTCAAAAGGTGAGGCGCTACCAAGAGAAGAAAAGGCTTGATATAAGAAAAGGTGTACTCAGCAATCTGTCCTACATACTTCTTATTCAAACCAACTAACACGATTCACCAGTTCTTCCAACTGTACAAAAATACTCAAGAAGTGTGGGAGATAACTCTCTCAACATCAAGTATCCCTCAACTCGGAAATAGTTAGGTTACATTACATAAATCCTATGTATCGTTCTTCTCTACTACAGAGGTTCTTCAAAACTAGAAATAATCAAAAAATCACATTCATCCCTGCATTGACATGCAAATTTTATAACTAGACTAAGAATATCAAAAGATAACACTGAACCAACTTGAATGTAATAAAAACTTGTCCTTAATGGCTTAATCCCAACTAAAATGAGCGATTTTATAGATCCTTTACTTCCTTTGTGCTTTTAACTTATCCACCTAGATTTCAGGAGATCGTCTTTTGCAGCAATTGCTATTCACTACCTTAATAATTTCAATCATTATAATATTGCATCCACAGGCACAGACCCAATATCTACTTAGGATATGTTGAAACTATTTCAGGTAATAATTTTTCACAAATCCTCGCTGTGTCACTTGCATCCTCTATTTGACTGAACATTTCTAACCTGGTCCAGTTTTGTATAACCACACATCTATCTTAGAAAAAACAACCCCATACCCAGTGTAGTCCCACAAGTGAGGTCTAGGGAGGGTGGAGTAGAGATGTTTCCCATGAACCCTCGGGTCAAGAAAATCGTTTTTCAGGACAGGTTTGTAAAAAAATGCAGGAGTAAAAAGATATGATGAAAATATTGATAAACAAAAAGTAATGACAACAAAAATAGTAAAGATAAACAAAGTAAAAAATACAACAATAATAAGAAAATTGAAGAATAAGCTACTGCTAGCATAATAACAATAAAACATCTTGAAAAAAAAGGGTTTGGAGAGGTGTCTCTGATGGTGGAAGACCACCGGAGAGAGGGACTGAGGCCCAAAGGGGGTCTTTCAGAAAGTTTCTTTGGGAGATATGCCTGGGAGCTTTTCTTTTTATTTTGGCATCATATTTTAGGAACTATAACAAATCTATCTTAGCATCCACATTAATATGGCATTCACCTAGTGGATATTCTAGGCCTTAGAGGCCCAAGCAGCCACCCAACAGTCAATACCATACACATTGATATTTCAAGCCCCTGCTTATTCTTAATAATCAAATTCCACTTTGTGTTGTCCAATTTTCTGACTCAAGCTCTCATCATAAAGCTGCAACAAAAATCTTCATACCAGACTTGTGGCACTTCGAAATTTAGCATAACCAAATATGCTATCATATGCTTTCTCCAGGTTAATTAAGCATCAGATGGAGATTCTTCCTCCTTCCTAGAAACTCCATATAGATCTTCTAAACTAGAAGATAGCATGCATAAATACAGGTCCAATTCAAGCATTTTTGCAAAATTTGGCAAGTCATAATATCAGAGGAAGGAAAAACAAGCTAATCCTAATTATAGATGAGCTAACCAACACAATACTAACTGAAATCTCTTAATCTATGCTATTTGCTGGTATATTGTGCTAATTCACTTAATTAATGAAACCAGGGAGGTGTCAACCAAAAGCGCTTGAACTAGGAAGAAATACTTTAAAGAGTAAGGGTGTATGATTTAATAGGATGAAGTAGTTACATTATAGAACTGTACAACGTTTGTTCCTCTGTTTGGTTACTATTTTCTTTCTTGGTATAATAATCATTGTATAACTTACACAGGAATCATCGTTCTATTATATACCATCTCTATGTGGGATAAACATTACATTGATTAGTTACACATGAATAATAATTGAATTGACAAAATTTCCTTCTCTCCAAAGTTTTTTAATACCTTGGTCATCTCTCTTTCTGCAAGGGCCAAAAGTATAATTGGAAACAAAAATTTATCTAACTTAAAACCAAACACATGATTTAAATTATACACTACATATCTCATTTTCAATGCAATGAACCAAACCCCTGATAAAAAATAATCTTTATATTTATTTATTTTTTTGAGATTCACAATCCCTACATTATTAATCATGTATTACAATCGTTGTGCAACTTTTTTTTAAATCAAACGACCCCCAAAGACTTCAGGGTAAATGGAAGTAAAACTGAATACATGCACACGAAGGTTAGTCGTTAGTCAACATTGAGAAGAGCGAAGATGAGGTCAAGACTAGACGAGATTGAGCTATCAAAATGCAAATAATTTAGATATATACGCTTGTTATTTCAATAGAGTGGAAGTATAGATGAAGACGTGAGCATGTTAATGAACCTTTTGGAAATCAAATGGCTATTAGACATGAAAGGGAAGCCACAAAATGAGAATCTGTCTGTTCCTTTCTCTTTTCACCTCGTGATATTTTCTCCTTCTGTCTAATAGCCAAAGAAATCTCTACAAGTCAACATATACTTGTATATACTAATAAATTCATCAACCACTTTCTTAGATTTTAAATAAGGTGTCATTGATCATCAAAATAAGCATGTGATGATTCATCTGATCTCATTATTCTTTCCAAGATACTTTCTTAACTCTTCCCCCTAACAGGTTTCGGGCATGTCGTACAATTCTGACATTACCACGGTAAAGTATTACAACAACGACATACCTGTGATCCCATAAATCGGGTCCGGGAGGGTGGGGTGCACGCACACCTTACTCCTACCTTAGGTAAGGTAGAGGGGTTGTTTTTTATAAGACCCTCGACTCAAGAAAAACATTTTCAAAACAGGCTTGAGAAATACAAGAGTGAAAAGTTCTCAAGAAAAAACAAAGAGTCAAAACCTATGTTGAAAAACACGGAAGACAACTAAAGTATTGACGACAAAAAATAGTAGAGATAAGCAAAGTAAAAAAAGAACACACAATAGTAGTGAGATAGATAAGGGAAAGCTAAGCAAACAAAATGTTCTAAACTAGCCCAAACTCACCCACATATAAGAGAGACAACACTCAACTACTTACTTACCTTCTACCCAAATCCTCGACTTCCCCTTTCTCCTATCTATATCATGCCTTCATCTGTCCCCGATGAGCTGAAGATGTGTCGTGTCATGTCATGACTAATCACCTTTTCCTGATTCTTCTTCTACCGCTCATCAACCCTTTCACTGCCACTCTCACACCTCCTCAATGAGGCATCTATGTTCCCCCTCTTCACATGCCCGAACCATCTCAATCTCACTCCCAGCATCTTTTCCACCAGGGAGGTCACTCCCACCTTGCCCGGAATATCCTCCTCAATGTTATCCCCCCAAATAATGTTTGTAACAATCAATAGCCATAACTTGAAAATACGGCAGATTCGTTGAAAATAAGCCACTTGAGCTTAGGGAATTCAGTTCAAAGTTCAGGAAATATTTCTAAATATTCTCTCGTGTTGCCTGTTGAGATTCGCATCTAGGTACGTTGTAAACAAAACTTATCTGCATTATAAGTGATAATAAACAAGCAACAAGATGCAGCACACAGAACATAAGTCAGCATCTAGGACAAAACCAAACATATACATCCACCCCAGAGGTTTATTCTTCTTTTTTTTTATTGGGGGAGGGGGGATGCTCCCGAAAAAGTGACAGTAATATCAAAAGGGGTGACATTAAAGCTAACGAGAATAGAAGCCTTAAAAATTGAAATGAAGCATGGAGAACCATACCAAGAGAATTCCTTCAACACTTGTCCTCATACCCTCCCTCATGTAGCTGCAAATGATACCTTATCTTAGATGTTTGTTAATTAAAAAAAAAGGTAGAACACATTGAGTACTAGAGAACCTCAGTACCAGTTTAGGCATGAATTCTATACTTGCGTATTTTTGCAAATGCTTAAGTGTGATACTGAACTTCTCCGAATTTCAAGTGCAATACTAAAATATTGAGTCTAATGTCCATTGAAAACAATCTCTCTACTCACCCGAGACCCTACTTGTGAGATTAACTTGTGTATGTTGTTATTGATGATAAATACTGGTCATTTTTAAATGAAATTCATGTTCAGAAACAACTTCAAATTCAATTAATTTGTAAATCCAAATAATTAAGTATTCGATTGAGATGCGTCCGAAGAAATCAGAACAGTACTAAGTCCCGAAAGGGTTTAATCTAGGGTTTTAGGAAAATCAATTGGTCCAAGTACTATAACGACAAGATAATTTTCAAGAACGAAAGGAAAGTTAAAAAGGAAAAGGAATGTACTTGACTTTCATACGAGCAAGACGATCAGCAACGGATGAATCCTTCTCCATTTTATGCTCTTTTGTACCAAATGTATAGCTAGAGAGTGGGTATGTGTTCACTATAGCCGACGATACCATTTTGATCTGTTCAATCGCTTCTTTTGGGCAAACGGCGAGAATGATTTTCCGGCGACGGTTCGCCGGTGATACTGGTTTTCCTCTGTTTCCCTCCTACAGAAATTGATTTGCTATTAAGGGGGAAAATTTTCAAAACAGTTGCACTTGCATATTTTAACAGGATCTTTTAGTTATATATATTATTTTTTTAATATTTATTTAAAATAGTTGTATTTTAGTTTTGTTGAAAGCTTGGTTTATATATATATATATATATATATATTTGGCAGAATACAATTAGGTAATAACATAATGGAGAAAATGAATTTATAATTTTGCATGTTTTCCTTTTTCCATAGAAAATAAGTACTATTACAATTTGTTTGTATAGAAAATAAGTTTGTGATATTCTAGTGTGATTGAATAATTGTAGATTTCGTTAAATGTTGTACAAAATATAGTAAAGCTTATTTGTTTTTATTTTTTTTTAAAAATATTATATCCATCATCGATATAACTTTATAGTTCATAGTAATACTTTGTAGTTGATTGTTTGAAATACAAGATAATTTGTGGTTAAGATACATTCAGGTAATGATTGAAATAATTTCGCATACAATTTACTAAATGTTACACAAAATACACATTAATTATAATATATTTTTGAAATACAAAATATAAGATAAATATATTTGACAGTCATAAAATATAACTTTTTGAGAATACAATGTGTGTTTGTTATACATGAATATTAACTTGGTTGTATTGATTACTAGGATACAATTATTAATTTTGACTGCAAAAAGTAAAATACATAAATTTCTCAATCATTGTGTATACTTTTATGTTCTATTACATGAATGTAAATATGCATATATTGTGGAAGCAAAAATTGTTAAAATACAATATAGTTATGAAGAGTATTAGTATTTTGTTCATACATTCTAAAAGATGGAACCAAAAAAATTCCTATAGTGATTACAACAATAAAGGCAAATATGATGTTAGAGTATTCAACATTTGGAAGCTTAGGTATGAGATAGAAGATAGTAATACATCTTTGAAAATACATAACGAGATTTGTGTAAGAGCCTATATATCGTTGAAAGAGAATAACGATTTGAAAAAGCATTCCCTTTGTATAACTGTATTTATGAAGGATTGTGAATTAACTGAGAGAAATCTTGATGAAGACGAGGTTGAAATATGTGGAATAGATGAAGGTGATACATTTGATACACAACCATTAGTGCTTAGTATGTCATTCGTAAGCGATATGAACATTGTGATATTATTTCAAACATCAATAAAAAAAAGTAATGGCAGATAAAGTTTACAAGAACAAGCGAACTTTAAAAGTTGTGATAATGCAGTATGTCACTGATCATATATTCCAGTGAAAAACAAATAGATAAAGTAAAATTAGGTATGTATATTCGTATACTTTTATATTTGTATACTCAATTAATTATTCTATGGACAATCATCTTGTATGTATTATGTGTTTTGTATTCTTAATCACTTCAACAATCATACACTTGTTTGTATGTCTGGAAATTGTGGATGAATAAAAAAGTCATCTAATATAAATTTATTGGAAATGTTTATAGTAAGAAATTCGTAAATGAATTTTTATCATATTGGATACTAACTATCATGGATCACATATAAGGATGAAGAAAATTGATGAAAATCAATTTTTATATCTTTTCATTTCTATCTTTCGTTCATGAAAGAGTTTTGAAAGTTATAGCGCAATTGGTGTAGTGAATGGCGACCACTTCAAGAAACTTATAATGATATATTTATGTCTGCTAATACTCTAGATGGAGCGGTAATTGATTTATAATAGATAAAATTTGATGTAGTTTCAATAATTGTATTTTTTTTTTATGAAATATTAATTTTTTATTGTTTGTATTCAAAAAATATATTGCCACTAGCATATGATATTGTTGATTCAGAGAATAATGCATCATGGATTTGATTCTTTAAACAATTTAGAGAAGCTCCTGATTTAAAACATAACATGGATGTTGCAACTGATGGAAACAAGAGTTTTGTAAAAGCAATTTCAAAGGTATGCAATGGAGTCACACATTATGCTTGTACATAACATATGTGAAAAAATGTGAAGGAATCATAAAATAGGCTTTCAAAAGTGTTTTGTGTCATGACAAAGGCATAAACACAATCTGATTTTGATGACTAATGAAAAATCTTGAACAAGTTGATGTTCGGATAAAAGATTACTCTGAGTTGGCAGGGGCATGAACAATGGACTAGGGCATATGCAACACTTGATTAAGGATTTATTATGACATAAAAAATTACTGGTAAATAATTTTTCTGAGGAAGTTAGACAGATGTTTTGAAGATGGAATTTCGCAAATCTTACATCTGCTTCCAATACATTCACCACACTTTGTGGTAAACCTCAAGAAATTCTTGCTGAAAATGAAGAACAATCAATAGGTATGACGATATGTTCTTGATTAGTCTTGATACTCCCAGATGTTTTGATGATATCCTTACAAATGTAGGGATTCGGTCTTCTACAGAGTATACTCATGCAGGACCATATGCTATAAGCTGACCACGTCAGAGTTTGGTGAAGTCGTCAGTGTAACACACCAATCAAAAGGGACGAGGTTGTTTGTACACCGATTAATTAATAACTCTTCATGATTGATAAATTCAACATTACAAACACCAAATCATTAATTCATGCAAAGTGAGAAATTCAAGTTTCAAAACACAAAGGGACCTCATAGATTGCTTTTTTGCTTCCTGAACTAGTTGTTTCTTTGAGTGCTTGTATTTGATATTATATTGTAGGATTCATTTCGCTTATGATAGAAACATTTCAACCTTGGTTGAATTATTGTAAAAACTTAGTTGAAGACAACTTAGTGTCTTACGTCAAAGTATATATTAATAAGTTTGATTAGTATAATGGGCAATGCATGCTTATTTTGGCTCATTGAGTGATAATGTATTACTCAGATTAGCGATTAGGAGGCTAATCTCCGTGTGATTGTAAATTGATATTTACTTTGGCTTGTCAAGTTTAGTAAAAGCAGTTTAAAAATCTTGTGAGATCGTGAATTTACTCCCTTGAGTAAGGAGATTTCCACGTAAAGTACATGTCTCATCTTTACTTTCAATACGTATCTTCTATTCATTATAGCTATATTAAGAACCTGATCCTATCGTACTCAGTAATCACACACATTCCAATAATTTTATTCTTTTTCTTTCTTCTTTTGTATTTCATATATTTATCTATGAAAACTTTTTATTAACAAACACATGAGAGAAACTATCAAAGTCTTTAGCCTTCAAAAATATTTCTCTTTTGCCTTGGTATTTTCTAAAAGGTTTGCTAGTATGTTTTGCTTATGCTACTAGAAATGCTTAATTTTTGAATTGGCTAGCTTCCTAATCAATAACAAGTATTCATTAATAATAACATTATAAACATTGTATCTTTTATTGATCATATCAATCTCCTATAGAGTTCATGGAAACTTCTAGAAGTATGAGTCATTATTATTATCACAAGCAATACTCAATCTCGATGATCACTTAACTTTTAATATTTCATATAAAAATTCATTCAAATTCATTTACAATTCTAAAGTCACTCAATCAGTTATAAATATTGTGTGTTTTCTTATTCCTCTATTTATTTTTATAGCTCTTTATAAAAAAGAAAGGGGGTGCGGGTCAAATTTGCATCTTTGCGCCCTTTACTTACTGAAGGGATAGTGCGTCCGATACATGATTGGTTAATGACGATTCTCAATAGCATCTGTATAATATCGAATTTCAATTATTTATTTAATGCCCATTCACACAATTTTGGAATTGAATGTTGACAAAAACTGCAGCAAGCAACTTGAATATAGAAACCTTATTCTGAATTTATTTATTTTTATTATCAAGTTATGAACTCCCATTATTTGTTGGAATTTTTGTTATCCTTCTTTTTATCAAGTTTTTTTTATGTTTTTTATTTTGTTTCAGCAGGTATATATCATAATTTGTTATTATTGATTACTTAGTTTAAATATGTCAATTACAAGATGAAATTTATTTAATATTATAATAAAGAATTTTGTATTTTAAAAAGCTAAAAAATAAACCTCAAACAAAAATATATATTTTTTAATAAAGAATAAATTTAAAGCCATTTATTAATGTTTGACTTTAGTCATTAGTTCTATTGAGCCGTTCTTGTATGACTTTATCCTGAAATGAAAGTTATACTTACGAGAGATGTTAAAAAAGATTTCACGAACTTTTGCTATGGTGTTAGGAACAAAGATGGAGACACCTTTTTGTTCTCAAAGACACTAATGCTTCTTTGTTTATCTGAGATATTCAGGGTGAAGCTAGAAGTCTGAATACAAATTCACTTGAATTTATAACTTTTTTAACAAAATATATTTGTACTAAAACAACAAAATCTTTTTTTCTTTGATAATTTTGCACATATTTGGCCAATCATGGTTAATATAGTGCTTAGCTCATTAATTTTGCTGAATAAGTCAAGTTTTTTTTTTTAAAAAAAACATAAACTATCACTTTGTATTGCTACTTTAGAAAATTACATTTGAATAAGTTCAATTCTAGGCTTGGTTAACAAACAAACAAACAAATTATAAGTCAAAATTGTTGAAAAAATCCTATGTTTTAGAAATAATTGAGTTGATTTTTTTTTTATATATATAAGGATTTGATCAATTCTTAATTTGATATTCTTTTTTCAAACCAAAATTTATACGAAATATATTACTTCACCAAACATGACTTTTTGGAATTCAAATAATAGTAGAAAATACTTTTATTAAAATAAGAATAAGACATGGTGTACGTGAATTGAGATAGAGAGAATTGTTGTTATTATATTATATTATAATATACAAAATAATAGGTAGTTGTGATCTATGAGGATTAGCATCTTTCTTGATGAAGAATAAAACATGGTTTACATCATTACATGTATTTATTTATTTCCCTATATTATACTATATAGTATATATACGATGTGAACATCTTTCGTAGAGATATAAAATTTACTAGCATCGAGTATATATACTAATTCAATATATGTATATCGTGATTTAAATTTATAGTTTATTTTATTTAACTTTAATTAATTAACATGTGTTTTACTTTATCAAATGATTCAAATCATATAATAAAGAAAATTACATTAATTTAATATAAACACCTCGATATTTTTCCTAATTAGATATTATTGTTCAAATTTCAATATAGAGATAAGATAATTCCATTTTAATATTTTATTTGCAAAATTTTAATGAATTAAGTTGATATGCATTTTTTAAAAAATAGTTAAAGTGCGCATAAGATAGCTCAAACATTATTATATTTTTTTCTTAAAAAAATTATTTTTCATGTAAATAATAAATAATATTTAAATAATAGCAAAATAATATTTGTAAAAATCACCATCTACCATTTGTTTCTTAGGAAATTACATTAAATAGAATTGTGTTTGAATTTTTGACCTCCAATTCTCGCATAGTAAACCTTCAATTTCAAAAAAAAAAATCATTGACCTTGAAGTTTTTTTAACGATAGTTCGATCTTTATATTAATTGAATTAAATTTCAATTCGCAATAAAAGTTTTATATTTGAAATAAGGTACTTTCTAACAATAGTTACTATGTACTCAAAGAACTCAAACGGAAGATATTTGATTAAAAAAGTATTACTTAATACAACAACACAATTATTGATTCTAAAAATTTTACCATGAGACGAGGAAAAGACTTAAATATGTCATTGAATTTTCAGAAAAAACACTCATTTATGTCATCAGTTGTCATTACCGATAAAGAAAAAACTCATTCATGTCATTTAACAATATTTTTTCAAAATCATTTTTAACACGTAATCAGTTATAATTTAGACACATAATTAAAAAAAAATTAATTCAATATTTATTTCGAAACATAGCCGATGAGATAGGTAAAGTTAAAAGTTCAACATCACCCCATCTATAAAAAGAAAAAAACAATTTATTCATTGGTCTATAGATAATAGAATTCGTAAAAACCAAATGCTTTTTCTATCACTAATTATTTATTTATTTTTAAATTGATATAATGAATTTATTATTTTATTCTCGTTAACTATAAAGTAATTGAATCAAAAAATTTAAAATTATTAAATAAAAATATATAAATTAAAAAAAATAGAAAAATAATTAGAAACGGATATAGTAAGGTTTCAAAAATTGAAGACCCATTCAATTTGTCGGCGGAGTGCATTGGACAAGGACGAGTCTACTTTTTTCCTCTCATTCCAACTCATTGTCATCTGAAAAAACTCAGGTTCATTTCTTGTATATCTTTTTTTTTTGTGTGTGTAATTTTATGGCTTATTATGCTTCCCAGTAAGTAGAGAAATCAGAATAATTCAATATTTGTTTTAGTGAATATTAATGTGCTTGAGTTGAACCCTATGAGCTGTACTTAGATCTAATAACTGCAAATTTCTGGTGGATAAATCTACATTTTGGGCAAAATTATGTATATAGCCGGAATTTTAGTAGCTCAGTTGGTTGATTATTCGAACTTTCACTTTGTTGGTGGGATGCCCTATGTCTTCCTGCAATTAAGAAAAAAAAAGTGTAGTATGTATGCCATATTGATTTAGGTGCTTTTGGTACGAAGAAAAATGTTTTTTTTTTTTTTGTATTTTGGTTTGTTTATTTTATCTGATGAGTGAAAATTGATGTGTTTTTTTCAGGATAATTGGTTAAGACTGCATCAACTAAACAAAATTTGATCATATTGGGGAAAATGTAATGGATTCATTCTCTATAAATTGTATTATTTAGCTATTTACTTAAAGTCGATTTCTGCTGCTAATGTGTGTTTGATAGACAAGGGATAAAGAAAAGAAATTATGTTGGAATATGATCTGTTGCATCCAAGGGTGTAACTTAGTGGTCGATGAAGTGTGTTGAGAACCATAAGGTTTTAGGTTCGAATACTAGTATGGTGTTTTCTTTTCATCTGTCTTGGTCTTGGTGGATAGAGTTAGCAGGCACCTGTTGCAAGTAGGAGATGACAGGCATCCTTGAAATTAGTCGAGGTCTGCGGAACCTGATTCGGACACTGTTTTGATCAAACAATTAAAGAAACGAATAGAAGTAGCCGATTGTTGACTTAATGTTCTGCTTAGCACCCAAAAACTGAAGTATTTTACTAGGAGGGTTGGTTATACTTTCTTGTGAAGTTTCATATGAAAATATTGCTTTCCTTGAAAGGATAACTTGGTTGGGTGATTTACAGTTTCTTTGCTTGAAGCAATGTTGTCGTACCCGTGTCGGATTCTCCAAAAATGCACTACTTTTGAAGGATCCTACACACATACGATGACATTTTTGAGAGTCCGAGCAATATAGTTGAAAACCATAAGGTTGGAGTTTCAAATCCTAGCAAAGACAAAGTAACTAGGTGATTTCTTTTCATCTCATGGCCTTGGTGGATATAGTTAGTAGGTACCTGGTGCTAGTGGGAGATGGAAGGTATCCCTTGGAATTAGCCGAGGTGCGCAGAACCTGACTCGGAAATTCTCTCTTAAACGAAGAACTAATTATATTATCCCTATTAAAAATGTGAGTCCTTGTCGAAACTAGTTAAGGAAAATGGCGTCAAGTTGTTTGACCTACTCTTTTTGGAAGAAGCTGAACCTTTTTGAGATTGTCTTATGCGATTAGTTTAGTATTGTTACTGATGTTGTTTAAATTTGCTTCCAACATATTTCATTGATGTGCAGGGGGGCACATGTAAAATGGGATGAGGCAAATCTGGAAGAAATTGAGGCAAATAAGCCAGTGAGGCAGAAAATAACTGAACCAAAGACACCATTTCACCGTTCGATCGACGATGATGATGGTATGTTCATGCAATTTCTATTTGTTACCTCATAATAGAAGTTCTCTTGCACCAAGGGTGTTGTCTAGTAGTCAATGAAATGGCTTACTATGAGTTTTCAAGTTCTTATTGTAGCAAAGACAAAAACACAACATGACTTCTTTCCATCTTCCTAGCCTTTGTCGAGAGAGGTACTTGCTGGTGGGAGGTGGCAGGTATCCCCTAGAATTAGTCGAGGTGTGCAAAAGTCGGTTCGGACACAATTTTAAAAGAAAAGATAAAATAAAAGAACAGAAGCTCTCTTTTTATGCACCAATAGATCAAATTTGATGGTGCTGTGCTGCAAATTCTATTTTTTTTACATGACTATAAATATAAATAGATGAAGTGTACTAATGTACAGTTACTAACCTGGTTCAGGACACTAAAATGGTCATATTTTTTGCCGTCAATGGTGTGCTTCTACCGAGGGATGGTTGGGAATCATATGATAGACAACTTAAGAGCTTCTTTGTTTGTTGTGTTATCCCTTTTGAATGAGTCTTAAGTCATTTTGATGATATATAGTTTGCCTTGAGGTTGGTTTTGATTTTTGTTGATAGTTTGATTAGATGTCTTTTACAAGTATTTCGTTAACTCTAAACACTAAAGTTGATTTATGTTCTTCTTGTTAATATTTCTATTGCCTTGGAAGCTTCTCATTTGATACTTAACCTTCTAGATTTTTTTTTTAAAATTGTGGTACGTTGGAGCTTAATGACTACTTATGAACGTTTCAGATTTTCTTTATTGTATGTGGCAACAAACATTGGATAATATATTAGGCTATTTGTTTACAACAGTCCAAGAATTATACTATGTAAGTCGAAATCTTCAAAGTTTCAAAAACAAAATTTGAACCGGTGAAAAACAAGCTGTGCTCGACTTAATATTATCTTCTGGGAACGTTTGAATTCTCAAATTGCGTTGATGAGACTTTATTGAAGGAAATTTGATAACCTGGCAACCTTATACATATAACAAACACATATATAATGTATATGAATAAGTGGTCTTGACCACTATGTAAAAGTTATAATGTGTGCCTCTTCATAAGCTTCATAATCGTCCTTCTAGACGTGACCCTCATAAGCCTAACCCACATAATGCCTTCCTTTTCTCTTCATGTCATTAGCTGAATTTGGCATTATAGGTGGAAGAAAGGGCTCGGGATAGATTTAGGATGGGCCATTGTGGCATTTTCCCATCTCTAGTCATGTAGATTTTCGTTTAAAGGATCTCATAAGGGTAGCGATGTAAGCATGAGATTTTTACTCTATTTAGTGTATTTCACTAGCAAATAAATTATCGTAAAGTATTTGCTATTTTCTTAATTTTTCTCTCATTTTTTGCTATTGAAACTTGGTTTTTTAATGTTTGTTTGGATATGGTATTGGATTTGCAAATGGATGGTGACAGAATTGAATAGGGTTATATATTGTAATGTGTTAAGGATAAAGTTAAATGTGACATCATGTTAGTATACAAGGACTAAAACTATAATTTCCCCTTTTTTGCTGATTATAACGATACTATATAGGATCTCCATCTCCGTGGGATACTATTGAGGAGGCCAGTGCATTTGATGAAGCTTCTTCCAGTGAAAATAAATCCCGACAGTCTGGCTGGCCATCTTCTGACGATGAGGCTGATATCATGGACCAAGATGACGAAGGTATAAAACTTTTATCTGTATTTTATGTCTCAATATTGTGCTTCAGATTTCTAATTCTTGTTATACAGAAGATACTACACGTCTACACCGCAACAATAGTATGTCATATAGAAAAATTCGTCAAAGTATCTTGCTTTTTGTGTGCTTTCTCATTGGCGGTTGCATCAAGTGGTGAAAGGTTATGTTATAGATCACTTGCTTTCTTGCATTGTTATTTTTTGTTATCAACTGTCTGCACTTGACGTAACTGGTAAAGTTACTGCCATGTGACCAAGAGGTCGTAAGTTCTCGCCATGAGAACAACCTCTTGCAGAATTGCAGGGTGATGCTGCGTACAATAGACCTTTGTGGTCCAGTCCTTCCCCGGACTCCATGCATAGCGTGAGCTTAGTGCACCAGGCTTTCCTTTAGTTTATTTGGATTTAACGACTGGGTTAGGTTGGGGTTGCATAAGTGAATTCGATTATGCTGTATGTTTTATATAGTATGCACGACCAACTATGTCCCGTTCTTTGATTTGTTATTCTACAACATCAATAGATTCTGGTTCAGAAAGGAGCAGGAGCTTTAGGGAGCAAAGACGAGCACACTATGACGAATATAGGAAAATCAAAGAACTGCGTAGAGAGGGCTCTTCTCTTGAAGGAGCATCCGACGATGAGGTTGAGGATCTTGAGAAAAGGGATGGTAGGTCTAATACATCATCGTCATTGACATCTGCTGTTGAGGGCATTGACATTTCGGAAGGAAGCACAGACGATTCTAAATAGTCCTCCACGCCAGCCAATCGAACAAGGATTGTCCTGAGTAAGTACATGTTTTTTCTAAGAAGGTTGTTATAACAACCTACTGTTCTGTTCTTCATATGTTCACTTTTTCTTGTACTGTTATAAACTATAGAATTGTTGTAACACAACACTTTGGAGCCACAAGTAAGTTTCTTGAATGTATTCAAGTTTGTGTACTTTTGTAAACTATAGAGTTTCTAAAGTACAACATTTTACAGTCATTTTTCATTCTTGACTAGCTTCCAAACTAATGCTCTTCACTGTTACATTAATGATACTGTGTGGGTGTACGTGACCGGATTGATTCGGATTTTTCAAATATCAAACTAAATCACTTGTGTCAGATTTTTAAATCTATTAACCAAACCAAATCAATAAAACTCGAGTTTTTCAACCTCGGGTTTTTCCACTAAAGTATTCATACAAACATATAATTTACTTGTAATTCAAATATTTCTTCAATCCTACTAAAATACAACTATCTAAGGTGTTTCTTAAGAATATAACACAAACAATGATATGATTAATGACACTAAAATTTTCAAAAAAAAAACAATATATATATAAAATAATAATAATAATAATAATAATAATAAAAATAAAATAATAATAATAATGAAATTGTGTATAACAAATATTACAAGTTAACAAGTTATAATGAAAATGATCATAATTTAAAAGTACTAAATCATGCCAAAAATAAGTTTAATAAGTATTAGTTACATGACTGAATATTAAAGGAAATTAAAATTAGATTATGTATTTCAATTGTCTAAACCAATGTAAAATCAAAGAACAAATATTCAATATTATAGTCATCCTTAGTGTTAAATTGATATCCTTGTTGCATTAGTATTAATTTGATTTTGATTTAAGTTTTATTATAATTACCAATACACGTGGACTATAATCTTTATGGAACCATCCAAAATTCTAAGTTTCAAACATGAAATAATATATTAAAAGATAAAAACTATGAAAAAGTATAAGAAATATTTAAAAATTATATCTAAGTAAATATTTTTATGTGTAAAATAAAAATTTAAACTTATATATATAATTATCTATAATTTCTTCCTATAATTAGAATGACATTATATAACGACAGGGAAATATACAATCTGTCAAAACATTATTTAATATTTCTTTCTATTAGAATGACATTATATAACGATGAGAAACGATACAAAATAATACAATACAACATAATACAACACAACACAATACAATACGATATATATCAAGCAAGTACACCATTTAGTTTTTTTTTTATAGCATGAGCGCTAACAAATATTATTACATAAATTTTAGAAAAATAATGTAAAATATACTTTAGTTTTACGTAGAGACAGAATTAACACATCATACATTTACGTGCCTTGGTACACATGGGCGTAACTACATACCTTTTAGGGTGTTCGGACACGCTTCGTCGCAAAATTATATCGTATATATAAGTAAAATATTTTATAAATTGATTAAATAATGTATTTTGAATACTCTTAACATAATAAGGTGTTGTAGTCTAGTGATTTAAGGTTTTATGAGTTCAAATCTCGCTAACAGCAACTTTAAACTCCTTTTTTCTTCAATTTTTTTTATGTATATTACGTTTTTTTCTATAAACTTTCATGTATACCCTTAACATAGTTTTTTTCCTCTTTTTTCCAAATATTAACATACTTTTTTTTCAATTTCTTTTTTTGCATATTACGTAGTTTAATTTTTAAAATTTCTAGTTCAATTTTTTTCATGTATATGACATGTTCTTTTTCAAAAATTTCATACATATTCTGTAGTTAATTTTTAAAAATTTCTAAAGGGCCTTTCATCTTTTTCCTCTTTTTTTCAAAAATATTCTTATTATTTTACGTAATTTAATTATTAAAATTTCTAGTGCACTCATTCAGTCAAAAAGAAAAAATATATTTGTGTACAATTTTTGAATATCCTTTCTGGAATTTTGGCTAGGCCACTAACGGTTTTCTGCCTATAAATTTGCTACTAACTCTGAATAACGAAGAATTTTTTGAAAATTTCAAGTTTTTAATTTATCTACTTCGTAATCAAAAGGGTAAAATTATAAACTCACTCTATTAATTAATATTTTCTTAATAAATGTGTCAATTAAAAATTGGATAAATAATTAGAGATAGAGGATGAGAGTAATAGTTACTTTACTCTTATTGTGATTTTCACTTTTATTGTTTGTACACCACATAATATCCGGCATGTACACGCATTTGCATGTCCTCATTTTAGTTTTGAATTATAATTATTTTGAACTTCCTTTCGTTGTTTTTGAGCGAAAATTATTTTTTTAAAGCTAAAATTAACTAATAAAATTTATGGTATTCCACATTTCATTATTAAGACTAGAATTTTACTAATGATATGCTTTTAATATTGCTCATTGCTAAATATTCTAGCACAATATCAAAAATAGATTAATTTTTTAAATTCTATTAGTGCCAAAATAAATTAAAATATAAGAAGCAATATATATTATTTGAAAGTCACCTAAAAATAACATATGTTATTTAAAAATAATGTAAAAAGTAATGTTATAAGTTACAATAATTGATAACTATTTAATACATACAAAAAAATTAATTTACAATCCAAATTTTATTTATGACATATTAGTTGAAAAAGGAAAAAATTACATATATTGAATTTCTAGTTTCTAGATGAGCACTCAAGTATGTCCTTATGATCAATAAAATTGAACGGTATCTTTAAATTTAGATAATTTTTATATTATAATCACTTCTAATAATGCAGTCCCCTACCAAAGGAATTAAGAATTGATTTGCAATATTATAATCGCTCAAAAAGGAGACTGAAATATGCATTTAGGCACAACCATGTATGATTCATAGCCCTTATCAATGATTTCATTGCATAAGTTCCGGCAGGCAAACCTAATGGATTTTGTGCTAGGAATTTACAAGTCACAAACATATCAAATAAGTTAACATACAATCTCCACTATTTTTAATATGATATATATAGTGTATATCTAAATGAAATAAAATAGTTGTTACATTATTTGTTTAACTTTGCTATAAACCCGACCACCTAATTGAATACAATTGAAAATTTTGATTTATTCCCTAACATTGATCATGCTGTTATTTTTATTAAACTAAAAACACTACTTCCCTCTCAATAAGACTGAGATTGAATATATCCCCAACTTAAGGCTGAGTTGACAATATAACAATTCATATAATCAAACATAACACATTAGCATACATTTATAAAAATTATTATACGTCACACAATACTACAAGTGTTTAAATATTAGGTAACTTTTTATTGATTGTAGTTTTGAAAAGTTTTTTTAATTGAGTCAATTATTACATTAACTATTAAAATTATTCTAGAAATAGTAAATATTTTAAAAATAAAATTAAGACTCCACTTAATGACTATGATTAGAGTTTTATTTTGTGACATCCTAACTTGGGGAAAATATTCCACATTGACGAAAATACGTTAGAGATATTAGATATACGATTCATATGTGTCTAGAAAAATTATTAAACTTTGTGTTGTATCTATTGAATTACTCAACTTAAATATTTGAACCAATAAAATCACCCAACGAAACTTATCATGAATCAAATATATCACATTATTTTATCAATACACATGCAATTAGACTCATTCACAATCCTACCCATTAACCAAAAACTCCAAAACCAATTAAATGATTATTTCTCCCTTAACTAAAGGTCTCAGGTTCGATTCATGAATAAAATAATTTTTTAACAGAAAACAGTTCCCTCCAAATAAAAAAAGCAGATATCGAACACTAAATAATAATTAAAAAACCCTAAAATTTTTAGAGTCTACATACTCCTAAATTCATTCCTTCCAATTCTCATTCTCCCTTTCTCTCCCTCCCTTATTTTTCACTTCTAAAAAATTGTTCTTTGACTACTTCTTCCTAATTCTAGTTCTTTAGTTATTTTAGTTTCTTTCATATTATAATAGGTCAAAGCAAAAAAAAAATGAAGTAAAATACTGAAAATCCACTAGCTTTGAAACATAAAACAATCCAATTAAGAAAAAAATAAAAAAATAATCCATTTCGATTTTCCAAAAAAATATTTTTTCTTTAAAGTTTTGAGTTGAGTGATTGAACTGGTACGTCTAAATTTTGACTTTCCTATATAAATTCTCAAAGTTGACTCATCTTTTCAGTATTAACTCAAACTTTTCCATATTTCTTAAAAGGCATAATACACATATTGGACCTTAAATTTGATTTTAAATTTTAACTTTGACCTCTAATTTTCATAATGCACAAAAACACACTTTAGCTATCCAACTTTTAAATAAATAAACACATGAGTCCTACATGACCACAATACACGTAAGACACCACGTAGGACAAAAAATGACATGTAGGATATGCGTGTCTATTTGTTCAACTTTATATAAGTTTAAGTGTCCATTTGTGCACATTCAAAGTTGAATGACATAAATGTGATTTGAAACCAAGTTAAATGACAGTATTATGCCTTCTTAAAACTCCGCGCTCAAGTCAAACTAAAGTATTATCATTTATTATATCCCTCTTAACCTAACAAACATTTGTAACCAACATTTCTCCCTCCATTCCATTTTCCTTGGCAACTACCAATGCAGTTATACATAATTCAATTTGTTAACTCAAATTTTCCCTATTTTTTAGAACTTCATAACAAACACTCAATTCTCTTTGTGTGGATAAGCTATATTCTCATTGATTTCGTATATAACTCGTACTTCATTCAGTAACTTAAAGAGTTTAATCTTTCAATTTTCTCTCATGGCTGGTCCTAAAACGCCTCCCTACTATAGCCCAACGTACAAGAAGAATGGAGCAAACTACCCGTCTTCACCTCATTCGATACGTATCAATGTATATACATTGGCTATCGCGTTTACTATCCTCTGTTCTATGTCGTATTTGATAGGCAGAGGATCCATTTCTACCTCCCCTGTTTCTAACGCTTCTTCTTCCGTCCTCTGCATTCCGTTAAAAATCACTTCTTCAACCTCTGGAGTATACAAAAATTCTTCCTCTGGTGACGAGGAAGGGGAAGGCGCGGTATCTGATGATGTGAAACTTTATCCACCATGTGACTTCAAATATAGTGAGTATACGCCTTGTGAAGATCCTCAACGATCGTTGAAATTCAAGAGGGATCGATTGATATACAGGGAGAGGCATTGTCCTGACAAGACTCAGTTGTTAAAGTGTCGTGTACCAGCGCCTTATGGTTATAAGAAGCCGTTTAAATGGCCTAAGAGTAGGGATTTGGCGTGGTACGCCAATGTACCTCACAAGGAGTTGACGGTGGAGAAGGCCGTTCAAAATTGGATTCGTAAAGAAGGAGATAAGTTTAGGTTCCCTGGTGGAGGGACTATGTTTCCTAATGGTGCCGATGCATACGTTGATGACATTGATAAGTTGATAAATCTTAAAGATGGTTCCATTAGGACAGCCATTGACACGGGTTGTGGGGTAATTTTACCATCTTTATCTGTTACAGGATCGCGTTTTTTACATGTTTGTTATAAAGTAATCACGATGTGAACTATGCAGGTGGCGAGTTGGGGAGCTTATCTTCTATCGCGAGACATTCTAGCAATGTCATTTGCACCTAGAGATACACATGAAGCACAAGTTCAATTTGCTCTTGAGCGAGGCGTTCCTGCATTGATTGGCGTGCTCGCGTCTAAGAGGCTTCCCTATCCATCTAGAGCTTTCGATATGGCTCATTGCTCTCGTTGCCTTATCCCTTGGGACCTATATGGTGCGTATAATCAAGTAAATGAAAATGTGTTATCTCTTAGATACAAATTTTGTTTTCTTATATGTTATGTTTAGATATTGGTGTGTGGTGTATATATATATATATCAGATGGCGCGTACTTAATGGAAGTCGATAGAGTTTTGAGGCCCGGTGGATATTGGATACTCTCCGGTCCACCAATTCGTTGGAGGAAATATTTCAAAGGATGGGAAAGAACTAAAGATGATCTTAACGGTGAGCAAACCCGAATTGAAGAGGTAGCTAAGAAACTCTGCTGGAAAAAATTCGTCGAAAAGGATGACATAGCAATATGGCAAAAGCCCTACAATCATTTCCAATGCAAAGAACAAAAGAAGCAACTAATGTGTTCTGTCCAAGATTATGATAAAGCATGGTTTGTCCCTCCGTTTCATTTTACTTGACGATGTTTGAATCATATGATCTTAATTTAAGTTGTATACGTTATGTTTAGGTATACGGAGCTTGAAACGTGTATAACTCCCTTGCCCGAAGTGACAAGTGAAGAAGATGTGGCTGGTGGACAATTGGAGAAATGGCCTAAAAGATTAAACGCGATACCACCAAGGATAAGCAGTGGAAGTGTGAAAGGGGTTACGGCTGGATCATTCGAAAAAGACTCACAGCTATGGCGAAAAAGAGTTAGTTATTACAAGAGCATAGACAACAAACTTAATCAACCAGGGAGATTTAGAAATCTATTAGATATGAATGCTAACCTTGGTGGTTTTGCTGCTAGTTGGGTTGATGATCCTGTTTGGGTAATGAATATTGTGCCTGCTGAAGCAGAGGTCAATACACTTGGTGTCATATATGAAAGAGGGTTGATTGGAACATATCAAAGCTGGTAAGAAATTCACTCCCCCCCCCCCGCGACACACCCTCCGTTCAAATTTTTAAGTAAATAAAAGTGTGCTCTGTGTCACGTGTCCTCAAACCTTTATGATTTCATGGCGAACATGTATACATCTTTGAACTTCTCATTTGGTGATATCCTAGGGTTTGTTGTTTTCGTTTTCTAGGTCATATATTAACCTAGTCAGGAAGTGGAGTTGGTTAGGTGATGGTATATCTTTTATGTCACCGTACCACATAGTCCACAATGTCTTACACTGCATTGGATCTGTCAGGGTTGAATCCCCTTTTTTGAGCGATCGCTTTTGCCTGTTGGTTGAATGTCTTGTTGTGTCGTGTCTAATTTGGTAGGGTGTCACTTTGCTTCCTTTATACTCCACTTTATACTCGTTGGAGGCGAGAAACTTTTGTTCCCTTCTCCTTTCTACTGTCCTAAGGTTGTTTTAGAGGAGCAAGTTTACCTTCAGTGGAGAAGGGAAATTTCAATTGATAAACGGTTTTCCACGAGCTAGGACGTGGAAATAAAATAAAACCCTATGTTCCAATTGACTAGCCTATTAAACCTATTTCGAGAGTTAGAAGTTTGGATTGTCACTCAACTTTGGGGAATTGACCATCATAGTCACTCAACTTAATTTATCTTTCAAAACTCACTCAACTTTGACAAGTTAGCTTCCATAATCATATCATTATTTTCAAAAAAGAACATATTTTTTGGTACCTAATCAACGGCGTGATAACTATAAATTTTAGATGAAAATATTTCATGGTCATATCACTACATCAAAAATGATTTTTAACGTCAATTAACACTTTTTATATGGTAAAAACTTAATTCTTTATTAATGTATCTATTTATAATCACTGAAAGCTATTTTTATCGTAATGCGTATTTACCATGAATTTTGTTGCAGGTGTGAAGCTATGTCAACTTACCCAAGAACATATGATCTTCTTCATGCTGATTCAATATTTACTATGTACAAAGAGAGGTAAATTCTATCAATCATTTTAAATTTTATATTCTCTTCGTTTCTATTTATGTGAAAATGTGCTATTTTGAGGGTCGAACACATTTTCTCAAATTTCCTTAAATATTTTGAATGACTTATAGTACTTATCAAATATAAAATAACTCATAAAATTTTCTTATAACATATTTGAAAAATTTATACAAAAATTCATAATCAAAATTAAGTCTTTTAACCATCGTACTCTAAACCCCTTCACAAAAGTTAGAATAGACATTGTTCTTTTACTTTTATTTCCCTTCACATATTTTTTCGATTTTTTTTTAAAAAAAATATATATTGTCCAACATAAAATATTATATATCAGATAGCCCAATACACCCTATGTAACATTATACCTAGAGGAAAACACTATACATAATGGGTCAACTCTACAAAAAAATGTCTAATAATATATAAAAGATGCTTATAAACAAACATAGGCTAAACTATCCTTTTTATACGTTATCCGTTTCTATAAATAGTTGGTCAATTATACTTGTCATTTTACAAAATCAATGCATAAATTATTATACTGTTCTTTTTTACCCTTGTGAGTTACTCCTTTTTACTTTGCACTTATATAAGAAATGATGTAACTTTACTCTTCTACCCTTATTTAATGCTTTCTTAAGTCAATTTTATTAATAAATGAAAAGATTAATTAACTACTCTATCAAGGATATAATAGGCAAAATATGATAATTTATGCATAAATTTTATAAAATGACAAGTATTATGGTCCAACTAGTTATAGAAAAGATTCACATATAAAATAGAGGGAGTATTAGCCTTAAAATATACATTTCACCAACTTAGAAAAGCTAAATAAATTATTTATGTTCATTGGTTAAATTAATTAATCAAAATAAACTAATTCATATTAATTGATTGAAAACCTGAGTTTCAAAAAAATTAAACAAGGGTAGAATAGTAAAATTCTAAAATAGTGACGTAAAAATAGGAATGGATGGAGTATTTTTTTAATATGACTACATCAATGCACATACTTTTGCGTAATATTTTCTAATATGTATTGAATTCCCTTGCTGAAAATCCTGATTCCGCTATATGATTGACCTTTTTCATGATATACTTGTCCATTTTGATATGTAGATGTGACATGGATGACATATTACTAGAAATGGATAGAATATTAAGGCCAGAAGGAAGTATAATTATACGTGAGGATGTAGATATATTAGTTGAAGTAAAGAGGATTGTAGATGGGCTAAATTGGGAGAGTTTGATTGTGGATCATGAAGATGGCCCAATGGAAAGAGAAAAGCTTCTATTTGGTGTGAAGACATATTGGACAGCACCAGCAAACACCACCACAAGCCCAAGGATCTAATTTTGTAACGACGTGAACAACAACAACGTATTCAGTATAATTTCACGATTGAGGTTCGAGAAGAATCTAAGTTTATAGTACGTCAATAACAATAACATATTCAGTATAATTTCACGACTGAGGTCTGGATCTAGTTTTGTGAAATTAACAATTTTCTATCTTCTTTTTTTTGTTTTTGGAGTAAAGTAATTGAAGGAATTTTGATTTAGGCATTTTACTCTTGTGACTAAATTTTGTATAGTAGTTTGTCAAAACTTTTGTGAACAAATTCTATTTGTCTTGATATGACTAATGGATTTTTGTTTTATGTCTTGAAAGTGCCTTTTGAATTCTTTATCATATTTTTTCTTTTTTTATACTGTTTTTTTTCTTATTAATAATAATAATAATAATAATAATATATCAAGCAATATGAACAATTTATGTCAGGTGAGCCACAAAATGAATTATAGAAGAAAATTAATTTACACTACAGCAAAAATCATCGCTAGCGGTAATTAAAAATTAATTGTCGCTAAATTTATATTTTTAGCGGCAATTATCACTCTTTTTATATGTCCGTAAAGCCTTTAGAACTAATGTCCGTAAAGACTTTAGTACTTTTTGTTACTGTCAACTTTTAATGCCGCTAAAAGTTGTTTTTATTATAGTTTTAACTCCCCATAAGATGGTATAAAAATAGGAAAAAAATTATATGGTTAAAAAAACATATACTAGTTAATTAGTCATTATAGCTATAGTTTTTGTTAATTACCACTCGCAACCAACGTTCAATGATTATTATGTGGGTTGGGGTTTCGAGTTTGTATAATTCACAAGTTTCTATATACTTTCAGAATTTGTATAGCTGTCTAAAGATCAAATTCTTGTGTTAGTATAAATTTATTATTTATACAAAAATAACTCAATTATACAAACGACACAGCTTAAACTCTAGCTACAACATGTAAATATGCAAACTATAGCCATAGAGCATAATTAAGTTTATTATATCGACTATTTGCGGATATTCCATATAACATATTAAAAAAATGCAAGAAAGCTGATTGTCAATATCTTTAATTAGGTCATTCACACAAAGGGTGCTCTCATCTTATAAACACCTCTATATATACACTTCCATTTTCTTTCAACAATGATTCATAAGTTATACAAACAACTCATATATAAATTCAAATAACAATCATGGCATCTGTGAAGTCGTCGTCGTCATCATCATCATCATCATTTATTTCCTTGTTGTTGTTGATTTTGCTTGTGATTGTACTGCAAAGCCAAGTTATCGAGTGTCAACCTCAACAGTCATGCACCGCGTCACTTACTGGCCTGAACGTCTGCGCCCCATTCCTGGTCCCAGGCTCACCTACTGCAAGTACGGAGTGTTGCAATGCAGTACAGTCGATTAATCATGACTGTATGTGCAACACTATGCGCATTGCAGCTCAAATTCCAGCTCAGTGCAACCTCCCTCCACTCTCTTGTTCTGGTTAGGCCTCTTATTAAAATATAATTTTAAAGATACTAAATTTGCTTGAAAGAGCAAATCTGTATCAAATTTAGGATAACTTTTAGTAATCACATAGCTTTTAATATGAAATTACAATCTATTCCTGTCTGGTTTTTAGTTATAATAATCCCTTAAAAAGTAATGTATCGGATACATTAATATGTAGCTCAAATACATTAAACAGTATCTTGTACATATTATAACATAAATCCGTTACATTGATATGTAGCTCAGATACATTAAAGAGTATCTTGGATATATTATAACATAAATCGGATACATAATATGTCTCTCATACACATTAAAAACTAGCTCGGATACATAATATGTAGCTCAGATACATTAAAAACTAGCTCGGATACATATTACGTAGCTCCGGTACATTAAAAAACTAGCTCGGATACATATTACGTAGCTCCGATACATTAAAAACTAGCTCGAGTACATATTATGTAACTCGAATACATTAAAAAATGACTCGAATACATTACAAAATAAACCGGATACATAATATGTAGCTCGTATACATTGAATATTGGCTCGAATATATTAAAGAAATAAAAGATTTTAGAGGTTTTGTAAAAAAGCAGGAGATATATATTGAAAATAAGGATAACATAAAACGTGTATTTGAGTAATTTTTTCCTCAAATTTATTATATTATTAGGATGATTTACTCACTGGTTTTTATTTTTTGTTGCAGCAAATTGAGTTTGAGATCAGTGGCCAGCAAGTTTACATCTGCTACATGAGCAAATTAAATAATATCGTAACAATAAATTAAAGTTGTCTTTTTTTTTTGGTTATGCAACAGACCAAGGGGGTCATGAGAAAAGAGTTTGTACTATCATATGATTATCAATAAAAAAAATTATGAGACTTTGTTAATTTTCTATTAATTATTTCAAGCTCAAATATTGGAAGATTGAGACACTAACGTTATAAATTAGCTTAATCTATGCTAACGATGAATATAACTTAAATTTAATTTTTAAAAAAGGCAGTTCGAATGCACCAATAGAACTCTCCGATATTAAGATATGATATCTGGGCATAACTCAACCTCAAAAGCTAGCTCACGAGGAGAGATTTGTCCAAATCTATATAAAAAAAACTCAATTCGCATCCCTCTACCGAAATTGAAATAGGATTTTTTTTTGTCATATATTAGTTTCAATTTATGTAGCCCATTTGGAATTTTGAGAGCTGCTCAAATTTTCTTTTTGACGGAAATTTCTTTATACGTCTTTTAACCATTTTAAATTGTTAAATATAGTAATTTTTCACGCAGTTTTCAAATATATATAAATTTTATTTTAAAAAATTTAAAGATTTTATATCAAAATTTAAAAAAATTAAATCTTGAAATCTTAACTATATCCGATAAATTAGGGACATGAAAAATAATATTTTACAAGTAATAGATGAGAAATATACTTATACACACATATATTGCTTGACATTGCTTACGAAAAATTCTGCGTTACGCTACAATTAGGTGTCACTTTGCATTAGTGCACATACACACTTATTCAATTTACATAATTTTATTTTAATTTATTGATGTTGATGAAGTACGTTCATCTTCTTCTAGCAGCAGTTTCTCTTTGTGCATTAAAGTATACAGCAGCAACAGGGGAACCCAATCCATTTTCTACCGCAAATTTTCGAGCGTTGAAATGATCTCTTGTTACTGGTGGTTTCACTGTCTGTCTTCCTCTATTTTGCTTATATAATATGAACACGTATCGATGAATTCCAATCACTGGTTTTGGACTCTCGTAGCTCACTATCTCTTTTCCTGTATAAATTTAACGTATTACTACATATCTAATCATTTGTTAACGATATAATTAAGTAAATAAAATGTTAACGGAAAAGTTAAAAGTTAATTTGCTTATTTTTTACCAAAAGAAACATCAGTTGAACCAGGAATATCTGTCACAATCCTGAAAAAACAAAACCAAATTTAATTTCCATGCAAATATGATTACCCTTTGAGAGAAGTAGTGGAAACACTATCAAATTTGGCGTAAACGGTTCGGTTTCATTTTCGAACTATTAATAGTTTTAAAAATACTTATTTATATGATTAAATAAACTTAAAAATACACTCTTGTTATTAGAGGTAGAGTCAGGATTTTCAATAAGGGGATTCAAAATCTGCAGAAATAGACACATGCAGTAGCCGAAGGAGGTCCGACATCTACTATATATACATATAAAATTATTTTAACCATGTATAAACAATATAATTTTTCGCCGAAAGGGGTTCGGATGAATTCCCTTTGTACAAGTGGCTCCGCCCCCCGTTATTGTAACATGAGTGAAGTACGTCCCTAAATTCTTATCAGAATGTTTTTAGCAATTCTCTCAGTTTTTTATGAAAAGATTTATGTTCCTACAAAAATTTGAGACCACTTGCTATATCAAGTGACGGATCATAAGTGTATCAGGACTGTATTTAAGTTTAATTAATCAAGTAAAAATATATTTTTAAGACTTTTAATAATTAAGAAATTAAACTACGTAAATTCAATTTTTTTTATCAACAATTAATATACTTACCAGTGGAGGTGTTCCCTTAAGTAAGGATCACTAGGACCTGGAACATCTGGATCAGTCATGATCTTTTCCAAACAAAAGAAATAAAACAACATAGTTAGAAGGAAAAAAAAAAGAAGAAGATAATCTAAAAATGAAACCAGAGTAAGTTGCAATTCTTCAACTATCAATATATATGATAAAAAAAAATATTTTGAAATGTTTGATCAAAATATAAATATTTCTTATTTTTCAATTTAATCGTCATATTTTTCTTTTTAATCCGTCTTAAAAAGACGGTCTCTTTTCTATATTTAATAAGTTCTTTAAATTTCAACATCATACATGAAAAATCTAATTAACACAACAAGATGTGTTCAGTCAAACTAAGACGCTTAAATTAGTGAAATGACAGAGATAGTTTAATTTGAATATCAAGAAACGAAAAATATCACATAAATTAAATATAACGTACGAGTGTGTAAGCAGATCTCATGTCTTCGCCACCAATCTCGACACGAGGCTTAGAAGCAATGACAAGAGGCATGAGTTCATGACCATTAAAGACTTGTTTGGTTCCATTATATATCACATTCATTTTCACACTTGGATTGAAACTATCAACAACTTCTCCTATAACTCTTGCAACAATAAGTGGTTCAATATCCCTACAAGACATATTGTGTGTTTTTTTAGTGTAAGCTATAGAGGCAATGGAGAGATATATGTGAGATGGTTTTAACAATTTTACTTGCAAGGAGGACTTTATATACACAACACTTTGAGTGATGGCAGAGGTAGCTTTTGATGACGTATTCATCTGAACTCAATATATTTTATTTAGACTATAAAAATTTATTTGTAAAAATCTCATTAAATTGCAATTTTTTCGTATATTTCAATTTATACGATATATTTTATGCCGTCGGTTCAAAAGAGAATTGACATTTTTCTATATTTAACATTTTAATTTAGAAAAATATGACACCTGAGTGGGGAATGGAGGTAGCTTTTGATAGCGTATTCATCTGAACATAATATTTTTCATGTATACTTATAAAATTGCAATAAATAATTCTTTTTTCAATAACAATTTATATGACATTTTTTTCTTTTAATGCGTTAATTCAAAAGCGAATTGATATTTTTCTATATTTAATATTTTAATATATATAAATATTTTTAAAATTCTGAATTCGCCACTCGAACGAAACAAATGATGATGGGTGGGGGAGGTTAAGTTTAGAGATTCGATGGGGAACAATTAAAAATGTGACAAATTGAAAGGTTATCTATGAATGGAAAATCGAATGTTTTTTATAACAATAAAATTTACCAATATTGGCAATTCATGACGGAAAGAGAAATCACTAGAGACGGTAGAGAGTTAATACAAATATATATATAACATTTAATTATTGGTATGGGTTGTGTTTAAATTTGAAGAAAAAATAATTCAGATTATTTATTTTCTCATCATATGAATATGTATAACATATTTATATTTATTTAAAAATTGAAGAATATCTAACTTTAAAAATCATGCAAAAAAAAAGAGTAAATAAATTAGAAGAATCTTGGTGTTATCAAATTAATACTTTGTTGGACGAAGCACACGGAAAAAAAAACTAGTTATAGTGACAATTGAGGTCATCGATGGAATCAGATTTTTATTAAGTGATTTAAAATAAAATAATATAAATATACCAAAAAAAAATGAAATAAAGAGTTAATATATATAATTTATATACAAAATATAATTTTATTTTAAATATATAATATAATTTTTCGATGAATAGAATTCGAATGAACCTCTTATGGTGTTCTGGTTCCGCCCCTAGTCAAGGCAGTGACCGTCGACTGTGAAATTGAGAATTGCAGAGATTGGTATGAGTTATGACTATTACTCGATAACCTTACCTAAGAAAGATAAATATGTGATATGTATTTAGTTTTTGCTATACACAAATATAGTTTAAATATATTCCGATATGTAGCTAAAATTAAGATTTTATAGCAAATTTATCTCTTTATCTTTTCTCTCTCCCTCCCTCGCCTCTCTATGTTTTCGCTTGTCTCTCTTCTCTCTTTGTCCCCTCTCTCTGCAATACAAATACAAATGGTAACAATCAATAATACATATAAAATAGAAATAGTCAATGATACAAATATAAATGATAATACACACATCGTAACACATAAGTACAATAAATACAACCGTAATTTGTTAGGACTTACAATAACGATACAATCTTAGTAATCGATATAAATAGTATTCGTTAATATACTTGATACAATTGATTTGCATCAACGAATTGAATGTAATAGTTTTTGATACAATTGTATCTATTGATACAATCAATTGTATTCGTGATACAATAATTATTAATCGGATATACAAATCAATAATTGTATCTCTCTCCCAAATCTCGTTTGTATCTCTCCGTCCTCTCTCAATATCGCTTGACTCTCTCCTCCTTATAATAGTAGGTTTTGATACAAACCAACTAAATAAATTGTAATTGTGATACAATTATCGATCAGATATACAGAACAACTATATCACTCTCCCAAATCTCACTTGCCTCCCCCCTTCTCCCAATCGTGCTCACTTCTCTCCTCCTTCTAACATATAGCTACATTCGTAATTAAGCAAATTATAGCTAAAGAGCCTGATTATGTTTCTAGTCTTAGCTGTTTTTGAAACTTCCTCTTATCTTTTTCTGTTTTATCAAACTTATTGCTTGACATATTCAATTTGGATTTTCGAAGTTTAAATTTTGTCATATCTTACATCGTATTTTCTTTATTTTTTTTTATTTATCATATTTTTTTAGAGTCAAACTACTTGAACTTTAACCAAAATATTAAGATGTATTTTTTCATTAAATTAATATGAAAAGAATTTCAATTTATATTATTTTTCATATAATTTTTCGTATATTTAAATTTTAAATATCAAATTATGCTAATTCACTTTTAACTCCAAAATTTAAACAAATTAATTCTCATAAAGTGAATTGTGATAAGGGTGTATTATTTATAACCTTAAAAACTCAATGCATGCACAATACTTGTGATGCCTTTAGTCCGTTGAGTTATTAGAATGAGGAATACTACTTTTTGAATTTGAAAACAATATTCTAGACAAATGGGAATTCAACTTTTTGAGTTTTGAGGTTCTTAAATTGTGTTGTGTAGAAATGAGAAATGGAGAATTAATTTTATTATGGAAGCAAAAAAAAGTACAAGTTTTATGTTACCTTTGTTAAATTTGGTAATGACAAGACATCTTATACAAATTCTTGGCCACCTTTGCTAGCTATTATTCTTTGCCTACTCTAATGAAACATGAAACTTATTTTTGGTACTGTTCAATTTTAATGCTTGATTTGACATCACTTTTTTGTTTTGTTATATTTTTAGCCATTTTTGAAATTTTCTAGATTGATTTAGCATATTTTAGATCGAACTTCTAAAATTAACTTATTTTAAAAAATATTTTTGAAGTAATGTTTTTTGGGGAAGAACACTTTATGTGTGATTAAGCAATAAAAATACTTTTGAGCATGTCTTTCGGAGAGTACATTCTATAAAGTGATTTTCAAAAGAGTGTTTTCGAGAAAAACTACAGTAAAACCTCACTAAATTACTATTTGATAATTAAATCTCTCTAAGAAAATATATTCCTCTGATCTCGATCAATGAAAAAATTATCTATTTTGATAAGATAATATATTTTCAGAAACTCCAATATACATATATTGTCTTATTAATATTATAAGTTAATATTCTTTTAAAGGTATAAATATATCAAGACAATTTAGTGAAATGTGATTCTATTGTGTTTTGATTTTCGTTAAATTTTAAATCTAGTTGAAGTTCATCTCTAACTTTTTTTTTGGATCCAAAAGTTTTGTTATTGTCTTTTTGAACTGCATCATAAAAATGTGAAGATTTTTAGATGCGATAAGTGTTTCCTTACGTGTAACTGGTTCCAAAGGTATTGTATAATCTTCAACTTCATCATCAACATTATTTTTTTATGGGATCCACAGTTTCTTCTAAGTTCTGAACCTTTGAACGTGTATCATTTTCTCCTGGGCAATCCAATAGGCTATTGACGTCAATTTTAATGCGGTAATCGAGATCATTAATCATGACCTCAAGTTCTTGAATGATTTTTTCACAAGTGGGTTCATTCAAAATTCTCAAAGATTTTATTCTTCAAAATTTTGTGGTAGTGTCAAAAATAATTTGCTATTGTCTCTTGCTAAACATTATATTTGTCGTTCAAGTCGGCATTGCAAAATTGATAGCATCCAAAATATTAATCTTTACTTGTTTAGTTTGTCTCGCTTAATAGCTTTTTAATATCCTACGATAATATCTGTTGCGATAATACATTTTGGAGGCTCTTATTATCCTAGCATCACAAGGTTGAATGTCAAAACACTCTTTAAATTAATAAACATTAATTTATTGATTAAATAATAATAACAACAATAATAATAATATTTCATGGTCTCAACTATATTAATTTAGTGAGGTTTTAATGTATTTCTTTTAGCTTACAAAAAATAGTTTTTGCTACTTGCCTAGACTACTTATTTTCTCCCATAGACTTGGTCAAGCACCATATTATTTTTTTTTATGAAAAAAAAATGCACGTTTGAGTTTAGACCTCCCGAAAGCTTGACCAAATAGGCTATTATAATTATAATCGCGTCAAAGTCCAAAACCGAGGTATGATTAAATGTTAAGACAATGAAATTGGAATCGAGAATCGATATACTTCAAAATCAAATCGAACCAATCAATAAACATACATGCCTAGTCTCAACTGATAATAAACACTCCAGCTTATCTTCACCATATTTCGTGCACACCAGAAGTTGACGTAACACATAAACTTCGAAGGTGTCTAGATGATGATTTTATAAGTCAAAGTGTTCAATTAATATAATAAAAATAAGTAAAAATATCTAGGTATATACCGTTAAAATTGAGTGCTTACTTACCAGATGACCAGATGAGAAGTTCTAAATGTTCCCATGTTGAGGTAATAGGGAATCTAACGAAAGGAGAAATCAGTGGCAGCAAACAGCATCGTTTTCATTCTTAGTTTTTGGAGAAACCACATTTACAAAAGTGGTAATATATTCACATAAAAGTAAGCCTTTTCAATTTTTATCGATTTAATATTTAAGATTATGAATATTGTATTTTTAAAATTATAAACTAATACCTATACCATTTATTATCGGGAAAAAAACTTCTACAGAATATCGAAAAGCTACATATGACTAATCTCAACTTGGCTAAATTAATCATTATTCTCATATAAATTTAGTCATACATGATTCTTAATTTCATACCAAAAAAGGAAAAATAGATGTATTATACAATGTAGTTTGAAAGAGTATTTTGACTAATTTAGATAACAAATGGTTGGTGCCATGCTACTACTTGTTAGTGCAAAAATATCTGTCATTTTACCTTTTGAAATTTTAATGATATTTAAGTGTTTTACCTCTTTTTATATATATGTGTGTCTGTGTGTGTGTGTGACAGTATAATGGCTATTTAGGAAATTGAGGCAAAAAATGATTGATGAATTTTCCATCAGTATTCCACCAAAATCTTTAAGCCCATTTTCATAAATCATGGCAAACTAATAAATAAAATTAAATATTATAATCATACTTTAATTTAATTTTGTGATGTAGAAAATTTTTTGCCAGTCACTTCTCTCCCTCAAGTTTTCGCGCGCCACTTTCTCTCTCTCGCTCGTTTCCTCTCACTTTTATACAAACACAAGTATATAAAATATGTTTTTGTTTGTATAAAGCGAAAAAAAAATTGTATATATACATATATTTTCGTTCCCCTCTCTCCCCTCTCTTAGATCTCGCTCGCCACTCTCCCAGATCTCGCTTGCCACCCTCTCCTCTATCGCTTATACAAACAGAAACGAAATATATAAATTGTGTTTCTGTTTGTATAAAGCGAGAGAAAATTGTATATACACTTACAAATATATATGTCTTCGTCCTATACCTTATAATTATACAATACACAAATATTCCTCTGCCAATTTTCTTTTCTCTTTCTCGTTTTATATATACACATATTACACAATTGATTTGTATACAACTGCTTTCTTTTGTATATGTATAGCGAATTATACAATTGGTTTCTTTGTATATGTATAGCGAATTATACATATTTATGTTTGCTATGGAGTGCAATTATGCAAACTTTGTTATAGTATACAAATATGAATTTTGTGTTTGCTATATGTAAAAGTTGTTCTTTAACATAATACATAAACATGATCCTTAACTTCACTTCAGCTGATAATTATACCCTCTAACTTTGGGAGTGCACAAATAAACACTTAAATTTATATAAAATAAACAAGTAGACACATGTGTACTATGTGGCATAATACAACGCCACACGGAACACAAAATTATCATGTAGGACAAATGTGTCTATTTGTTCAATTTTATACAAATTTAAATGTCTATTTGTACATATCAAAAGTTAAAGGTCAAAGTTATCGGTTAAAGTCAGTTAAGAGTTGTTTGTAACGACTAGTTTGCACGTTATTCTTTAGGTATAATTTGTCAGTGAACGATGCTATGTATTTACGCATTCAAAAACAGAAATGTATTAGCAGTGATACGTAGTAACAGCAACAACAACAACACACACAGGGTATGAGAAGGGTCGTGTGTACTTTGTGAAGGTAGCTAAAGAGATTGTTTCCGTACACCCTCAACTCAAGATAAGGTGTACTAATCAAATTAGAAGATAAAATAAATGATACACAAGCAAAGAAAACTGCTTTTTATAACTTCAATTCAATAGTCAAAGCAAATGCTAAAAATAATTCAAGAGGTATCTAACAGATGCAAATAACAAAGAGAGAATTTAGACAAAGTAAAAGAACAAAAAATAAAAGCATAATATTGATGAGATTATTTTCAACATTAAGTCCGTTGTCTCCGAGCTCTCTTCTTTGGCCTTCTATTTTCGTGAGGCACGATGACATCAAAAAATTCCACAAATCATTTTGGTTTACGATATCTAAACATGAGACTCCACATGACCAATAACTAGTCCAAAACTGTAGCCTATGACTACGGATTCCCAAGTAAATCCACTTAAGAAATATGACTCGTCTTCATCTTAGTTTAATATGATATTGGGATAGGTCTTTCAAATCGGTTACCATTCAAGAAAATCGGTACTCAGCACACATAATGGTGAAAGACTCTCCGTGAAATTGTTCCTTCTCAAGTCCAACACCCTTAGACTAGCCATGCTTCTCAAGCAACTTGAAATCGAGTTACTGAAGTTGTTGTGTGATAAATCTAGAAATCCAAGCCAGCTCATGTTACAAATGGATGAAGGTAGTGGACCCTGAAAGAAGTTAAATTTAAGATCAAGATACTCTAAATTGTGGTAATGAACTTGTGGTAGGTGGCTTGTTAATGAATTATGCGAAAGGTTTAGGAACCGCATAATTCATGTTGTCAAAGATCTTGGAGGTTAGAGAAAACGTCAAGCATTTCACCTGAAAAGGAGTTAGATGAAAGATCTAAACTTGTCATGAGAAGCTTCAATTTAGAGATTGTGAAAGATATACATATGGTCGCTGAAATTGAAATTGTGAAAGATATATATATGGTCGGTGAAATTGAAATACCTAATTTGTATATTAGTATATTCAAGATCCACATACCTTAAGGAGGAAGACATATTCATAGGTATAGAAGATGAGATGTTGACATCAGGGAGAGAAAGTACAACAATCTCTACTCGCATTCCATAAGACCGTTTTTGGGAAGTTTTGAAGTATTGTGTCCAATGTTTTCTAATCAAGTTGTAATCCATCCCATGTACATCAATATCTACTCGTATTCCATAAGACTGTTTTTGGGGAAAAAGTATCACAGGATAGTAATTGGAGATTTTTCATTTTCCATCTCATCCTCCATATTTTTCAAATGATAGAGAAGAAGAAATCAAACTAGCTAGGGAGATTTCAATCCAAACACTTAGCATTCAATGCCCCCCTTCCCCAAACCAAAAAAAAGTAATATAATGTGAACTTGAAACAAATATCTCCTATATAAATTTTTCTCAACCACATATACAAAGAACCAACTTTATCAACTTAAAGACAAAACCATATGTAACACGTTACCAAAAAAAAAAGAGTAGAGGGTAGAGTGTGTAAACATAACAACCAACTTTTATGTGTCATAAGTGTTCACAACAACTAAATCATACACCATTCCCTTCGTTCACTTTTATTTGTTATGTTATTCTTTTTGAAAGTTAATTCGATTTATTTTCAAAGTTAAATTAGATAAAAAAAATTAGATATTCAAAAATTATATGAAAAGTATTACAAATTGCAATTTTTTGCATATTAATATGATGAAAAAATACATCTTAAAACGTTAGTCAAAGTGTTTTTTTATACTTTGATTCTAAAAATAGAAATCATGACAAACAATGGTGAACGGAGGGAGTACTAACAACAACATACCGAATGTAATCCCCAAGTGGAGTCTATGGGAGAGTGCTGTGTTCGTAAAATTTATCGTAACTTAACTTGTGTAGGTAGAGATGTTATATCGAATATTACAAATTTGCCATAAGCATTAATAGTACAAGGAGGTAATTCACTACAAGAAGTCAAGTTGCCAAAATTTAATGGGCTTTTAGAAGTTGCAACCAAGAAGAAGCCCAACCCAAGTTTAACAGGAGTAAGCCCACCTGTGAGGCCTACAAAAATGCCCAAAAAAATTTATCTGTATATCTATATATAAAACATTAAATAAAGGTAATATATAGATAGATAAGGTGATGTAACACATTTCTATAATTTGATATTTCTATTTCTCCCTTTTGGATTTTTCTTGCTATTTATATTATAGGTCGAACACGATGATATAAATATAAAAAATCAAGCCAAAAAAAATTAAAAATACATCCCACAAATTAAATTGCTACATACAAAAAATTACTATATATATATATATATATATATATATATATATATATATATATAT